GTAAAACTCATATTACCTTTCAACATAGAAGTTGTTCTCACTAAAAAAAAGACAAATAGCATAGAGAATCTAATTATTTGTGGTACATAATACCCGCTAGATAATAAATGATCAAGGAGCTAAGCAGACTCCAAACAACTTCCTCTCCACCTCTTTCTCCCAAAGAAAAATTTTGCCTCCAAAAGAAAAAATAAATAAGACAATAGGATATGCTACAGAGAAGGTAGCCTAACAAACCACTCTGGCAAAATATTCAGGAGACCAATAGGACAAGAAAGCAATATAAATTACAGTGTGATCGATCCTAAGTCATGTAGGAATGAAAGGTTTGTACATAATTGTTAAGAAATTCTCAGATGAAAGTATTTAAGACCTCAAAATTCAAAATGTTCAAAAACATGTCTCATACAATCATTCCATATAGATAATTTTCACCATGAGGAGCATAACACCTCGCATATTTAACTATGATATTAAATGCAAGAGGGTTAGAGGGTTTAATTAGTGAAAATGTTGAGATTTGGGGTCAAAATATCCATCAGGGTTTAATATGTGGAGTTTGGATAAAAATTATGGATTGTGAAATTAGTGAATTAAAATGGATGTTTTAAGTGAGTTAAGTGACAAGTGAGACCCACTCCCACTTAAGTGAGTGGATTAAGCACATGTGAGAGAGGATTGTTTCACAAAATCAACACTATCTCTCTCCTCCCTTCTTCTCCCTCATGCAGCCCTCCACCATTCTTAGGGCATTTTGAGCTTATCAAATTCCACTTTGAGTTAGAGCCATTTTTAGGAGAAACTACAAATTACAAACTTGTTCTCCTTGAGATTGTGAGTGTGTTTCATGTTGAGTGTATCTTGTGGGGTGCATTGTGTGAAGAGTTCTTCCTCCTTGTGTATTTCGAATTTGTTGAGTAGATGAATAGCTTTGGAGCTCTCTTGGCTTGATTAATTGGCTGGAAACCTATCCTAGGATCATTTGAAGACCATTGGTCATAAGTTTCTACACTCTCTTTCAATTTTCATAGAAATCTTAAAATGGATGAATGTTTGGTTATGTGTTGATGAGTTGTGATAGTTAGGAGCATTAAATGGTATGTCTCCTTTGGAATTAAATGCTTAGAATGATGTATGATGATGATTGAACCAATAAAAATTGCAGTGATATGTAAATTTTAACTTAGTGAAATTTATGGTTGGAAAGTGTTGAAATTTATGGTGGAAGTCATTAAAATGGTGGATGGACCTTATATGTAGTTGTTGGGGAATTTAATATGGAGGTTAGAGGAACATTAAACATATTTGAATCAATGGATTTGTCTTGGACCTTGCATGTTGTCATTAATGGCTATGTAGACACATTTAAGAGAAATTGTGGTAAGGTGCCCATTGGGTATGTGGAATGGTTTGATAGTGTTGGATATAATGATGAGGTTTATTGTGGGTTGTAGAATCATTACGACTTGTGATCAAGTTGTTGATGATCATTGTTATTTGATCAATATAGGTTACCTCTCACGGACTAAATAGAAGTGGATTAAGCTTGGAGCTTACGTTGAAGAGCATTGCTTGGGGAATTGAGGTAAACTCTTGGAACTTGGGTTAATCCTCTTGTGTGTTCCACCATGCCCAAGTTGGGGGTGATGGTTGGATGTGTGCTCTTTGATAATGTGTGTAAATAATATGTTTATGTATTATTTACATGTTGATGGACATGCGTGTGGCATGTTGTGTGTTATTGTAATTGTGATCTCTGGCCAGTAGATGTGTTGGTTTGGACTTTCGTCGGTTTATGCTCCTTTGGGGAGTTCCGGTCGGGTTTTGCCATAGAGTCGTCTCTGGGAGCGGCACTAGGGTGCTCCAAACGTGGGACTTCCGCTGGATAGGTCTCCTTGGGAGCTTCAGTTGGGTTTGCCATGGAGTCTCTCAACCATGGGAGAGACGCCAAGAAGCGTCCCGAGAGAAGTTTGATGGGGTCCTTGAATGAATCCTTTAGAGGATGTTCTTGGATTGTGCCCGGTTGTGATATGATTTTGTTTGTTATACTGTTCATTATGTATCATTGCATGTACATTGAGTGAGCCACTGGGCGGAGTGACCCTTCGGTGCCATTAGTTTACTGAGATATATATGTATATCTCACCCCTCTTTGTGGCACCATTTCAGGTTCAGGCATTGGAGTTTCGGGCAAGAAGCCCACCTAGTGGTGGAGATAGATTTTGGTGCATGAGATTCATGTCATTTTTGGAAGGATTGTATATGCACATGTTAACATTCATTGTGTAGAGGACTTAGTATATGAACATGGTATTGCATGTAATTGTATTTACTATGCTTCTGTTGTTAATATGTAATCCTAAGTCTCTTGATTATTAGTTGTATTTTGAAATCCCATTGTATATGCCTCATTTTATCATTTTGGATATGGTGAGCATGGGGGATGTCCATGCCACTTGGATTATGTTTAAGAATTAGTTGTTGTAAAGAATATTTTATGGAGGTGTATGATTGATGGAAGGGTCAATGAGTTATTGAATGCATTGAGATGTGAAATAGTGAAGTGGATATTGAATGATAATTGATTAGGTAAATAATTGAAAAATTGGCAATTGTTGAAAATATAAACAAAGTGCTGGCCAATTTTCATATCTTATATGATAGAATTAGACCCCTTGGCCTTCTTGGAAGTTGTAGATCTTTCTTTTAGCTTTTCAAAAGACCAAGATTGTGTAAATTGGATTAGTATAACTCAAGTAGGTTAAATTTCCCCTGTTTTGGTGCCTACCTCCAGACCTGTGGCGCTTTTGGCGCCAAGTTGGCACTATTAGCGCCACTAATCAGTGGAAAATCGTATCCATGGCGCTGTTGGCACCGTTCCACTGCTTTCTGGCGCTATCAGCGCGGGTCAGGCGCTATCAGCGTGGGTCCCATGCAGAATCAGCACCCATTTGCTTAGAAAATTCATAACTTGAGCTACGTTGCTCCAAATTTAGCGTGGTTTGAATCCACGCGAAGCTAATGAAGAAATATATAACATAGTAAAAAATGAGAATCATTAGGGAGGTATAAAATTCATAGATTAAATATAAAGGTGAAGGCATTTAGTGTTAAACCTTGATAGAATGGGTTGTAAGCTTTGTTGGTTTATGGGAACCACTTGACAACCGCCAAATGTAAGTTGTATGGTATTAAGCTACTATATTCATAATTCTGCTATAAGTCTTGAGTTGTGTTCACAGTTAATATATTGTCTGATAAGGTTATTTTAAAAGTGCAAACAATATTAAAAAAAGAAAAAGTTTTTCCGTAATTTCAAATAATTGCTATGATTGTGACTGCGCTTAATATCATAATTGATAATAACATACTGGTACAGTAACGGGGTGTTACAAGGAGTAAATTTGAACATCAAGTGCTAGTGGAGGTTATATTGTATTTCAACAATTTAACTAATATATAGCCTGCTCCTAATAAACCTAAAAGCTGGGTAAAGAGCTTATAATGCAGGGATAGAAAAGAGCCTACTTTTCTACCCAAAAAAAGACCTTACTTGAAATATCTCACTCACTGATAAAGTGAGGTGGAGGTTTATAAAGCTATACTCATAGAGGTAAGAGGTGCATGACCTTATCTTCTTCTTCCACTGTTACTTCGTTAAACCTAAGGGGCTCAAGTTTGGAACCTGAGTTCTAACACAAAATGGCTTCTTCTATATTAGGTGTTTCTTCCATCTACCAAACCTTCTCTTTTGAACTGTATAAAAGACCAACGCCAACACCCTCCATTTCGTTGCAATTGTTGAACTACAAGTCTTGTTGCTCAACACCGTCCTCCGTGCTAAGACCCAGGACTGTGGGATTTAGTGATTTGTGTGATTTTTTTATTTTTTTAATCTAACCCGCACCGGTTAGACGAGTTTATAGGAGATGACTGCATACCCAATCCGAATGGTGACTCTAATCGATCACCCAGCCTGGGTCGGTCCGGGTTTTATTACACTGGTAGGGGCAAATTAGTGATCTCTCTGTTGTTGGTTTGTGGCTTGGTGGGTGCCATGTTGATGGCTAGTTTGGTGTCCTTGTGCATTGCCGCCTTGGTGGTTGGGTAGGGGAGGCAGCATGTTTACTGCCCGCCTTTCCTCCATTCTCCTTTTCATGTTATCAAGGTGTTGCAGAATCAGAGTCATCATGGTCCCAATGGGGTCTTCTCCCTAGTTCGTAGCACGCGAGCCTGGGTGGGTAAACAAGACAAGAGTTAGAGATGACATCATTCCCTAGTGGTTGCCACCTTGTAGATTTGGGCTTTGTATGCGCTGTTGCAAAGGTCGTTATTATTCATAGTTCTCCAGAGTGTTGCACGTGCTCACCATGGTTGGATGGAAATCAAAATTTATCATTTCTCTCCCCATAAACGATGCTAATATTGTTCAGTCCTGGTTGATTGAAGATTGATGTTGGTCTTGGGGCTAACAGTTTCTATAGAGGAGATGACTGTGGCTAGTATGAGATTATTATGCATGATGAGAGGCATAGAGCCAAAAGGCGGTGGTATGGGTTCATATTAACAATAAAGAGACTAAGGTTTCATGAGGCATACATGTGGGATAAAATTTCCCTTTTATATATAGGGGCTCCTTACCTAGAATGGATTTGAGTTAGATCATATGCTCAATGTTGAGGCCCATTTATTAGAGTTATTAAATACAAATGAGATGTAAAAGTTTCATGATCAATTATTTTTTTATATTTTTTTAAATGTGAGAACTATTTTACGTTTCTATCAATATTTAAAAGGTGTTTTTTAAAAAATAAAAAACAATATTTCCAGCACCTATGTACAAGTTTTCCTTCCGCAAAAAAAAAGTATCATCGTGAAAAAAGAAATGTATTAAGGTAACATTGTTGGGTGCATACTAAAGAAACAAACGAAAAATTCTCATGTAACTAACTGTCAGAGTTGTAGGTGAGCCGTGTTAACCTTCCCGGAAATGGGAAACAATGTCTAAAAATGGGGATCATACAAGTGAGCATTGTCAAAGAAGAATTGCAAATTTGCATTTGCAAAAGAATGTTGTTAATTGTCGAACATGCTATATAGTGTGTGTGCTATTATATGATCCTATGTAATCTACAATACATGGACAGTGGAGGTGGACAAAACATACATTGAGTACAAAGTAAAAACAATAGTTAAACCCCTATTCACTCCAAACTCGATCACCCCTGACTTAGGACTCACATCCGCCGCACCACCAGCACCCGTACCCGCATCCGCACCTGGCCCATCAGCAGCACCACTTGCGCCTGGAGCTAATACAGGCACTGTAACTGGTACAGGCGATATTACCGGCACCGGAGATACTACCGGAACTGGTGTAGTCACTGGCACTGGTGATACTACCGGCACTGGAGACTTCACCGGTACTGGTGTGATGATGGGCACCGGAGATACTACCGGAACTGGCGTGGTTACTGGCACGGGTGATATTACTGGCACTGGAGACTTAACTGGAATTGGTGTGATTACAGGCACTGGTGATACTACCGGCACCGGAGATACCACCGGAACCGGTGTTATTACTGGTACGGGTGATATTACGGGCACCGGAGACTTAACTGGAACTGGTGTGATTATAGGCACTGGTGATACTACCGGCACCGGAGATACCACTGGAACCGGTGTTATTACTGGTACGGGTGATATTACGGGCACCGGAGACTTAACTGGAACTGGTGTGATTACAGGCACTGGTGATACTACCGGCACCGGAGACTTCACTGGAACTGGTGTTATTACTGGTACGGGTGATACTACTGGAACCGGAGACTTAACCGGAACTGGTGTGATTACGGGCACTGGTGATACTATCGGCACCGGAGACTTCACCGGGACTGGTGTAATTACCGGCACCGGTGATACTACCGGCACCGGGGACTTCACAGGAACAGGTATGATTACTGGTACGGGTGATACTACCGGCACCGGAGACTTCACCGGAACTGGTGTGATTACGGGCACGGGCGAGACCACCGGAACCGGTGACTTGATCGGAATTGGTACAGGTGATATAACAGGAACCGGAGACTTTACGGGGACGACCTGAGAAGGTAATGGAGCATTGGAGGAAGGAGATTTTGCATTTCCGAGAAGAGAGGGGGGCATGATGAGGTTTCTGATTTGAAGGACTGAGATATCGTAGGGTTGTGAGACAACACCTTTGATCAAATTGGAAGGTTTGCCATTTGGATCAGAAGAGGAGACAAAGGTGACGGAGCCGGTGCCGGTGACAGTGATCCTCATGAATCCATCCATCCCATGAGCTTGGCCACTGGATTGGAAGAGTGTTGTGACGGTGATGGTCTGGTTGCCAAGTTTGCGTAATTCCTGTTCGTCGAAGTAGTCGAGGATGACGTGGAGGCTTAGCACCTTCTTGATGACGTCCATGGATTTTCCGGAGATAGGGCCCATCTCCTTGTTATCAACAGCAAGGACGGTCATTGTTGGCCTTTTGTTAATTTCGGTGGCGAGTTGGGTCTGTGTGATGTAGTTGCTTAAAGTGCTGTATTCTGGGTATTGGGATAGGAGTTTTGTGATGTCAAAACAAGTAACAGAGGGGAATAGAATGAAAAAGGAGAGCAATAATGTGGAAAGTGAGCATAAAGACACAGACATCTTGAGCTGGATTGGGATAGACATCTAGAGATCACTGCATGGGTTGGGGATGGGTTATATATATATATATGTGTGTGCTTCTGATATGAGTGAAGTAGACAAGGTCCTGGTTTGTTGAGCCTAATTTTGAGGAAGTTTACTTGGATAATAATTAGAAACGAGAGTTAATGGTCGAGCTTTCTTTACCATTACTAGGCCATTTTCAACTTTGACATTGTATACGTACGTACCTAGTTAACTGTTCTCTAAAATTAGACAGTTTTTCTTCTGCCTGTTAAACATCGATTATGCATATGCATATTTAATGCATGTATATATACCTTAAACCAAATTATGGATTTTTGGCAGCGAAATTCTATTGCCATTCATTGTACGTAAGTGGGATGGATTTGTTGGTGAATTACATAAATTTATCTATCTGTGCAGACTATACTATAAGATTCTCTTATCCAATTCGCGGGTTAATTTTTCCATCACTTACATTTTAAGAGTAGTGTTACCTGTATAATTTTCACGTATAAAAAATAAAAAAATATTTTAAAGTTTGTATGGATGCAAGGGTATATTCTTTTCTATTATCAAAACACATACAATTGGATAATTTTACGTGTTATTATTAATTGTGTGTGTGTGTGAAATTAGTTTTATTTGTTTATAGCTAAGAGTTATTCATATAACATTTTCATCTTTATGAGAAATGCATATAGTCACAATGTCAATCCTAATTTTACCAAGTATTGAGGCTAGAATGCGAATAATCTTAGTATAATATTTGATGGCATGGCTTTGAGCAGATAAGTAGATGAATTTTGAAGTGTGAACAAGACATATATAAACAATTTTGTTTATTTTTGAGTGTGGAAATAATTATTTTTTTAAACTCGACCGAGTCGAATTAAATCTATCAATTTTGTTTTTGTTTTTGTCCAAAACTACTTTACTCAATTCATGATCACCCGCCACTCAGCATGCCGGAACAGTTGAAAATCGAGAAACCCCCCAGCTTAAGTGCTAACTGCTAACTGAGCCTAGAACGGACTGCACAGTTGTTTCAACTTTTATTACAACATCCTCTGGCCGGTTTGTGTTGGGTATGGCTCATACTTTGCATGATGATGAATGTCCTAATTATCAGGGTCAGTAAAAAGGCAATTGGGTGAACCAGGGTAAACCGAGTGACTTGTAAACCGCTGTTAGGGTTTTTTAATCCTATTTATATTTTTCTTGTAAACCGAGTAACTTGTAACGAGTGACGGTGAGGAGAATATAGTACAGACAAACTGGACGTAGCCTTAATTGGATGAACCAGGGTAAATCGCTGTGTCTATTCTCTCTCTTTTTCCTTTTCCATTTTCGATTTGTGTGTTATCGATTTCCAACAGTTTGATCATCTCGAGTTGTTTTCTCTCAAAATTTGTCAATATGGGATTGTGTGAAAATATTTTATCGAATAATATGAGAAGAAAAGTTATTGACAATATTATGAGAAGTGCTGTCTCTAACTGAGCCTAGTAGGTCTCTAACTGACGTCAAAGTGATAATTAAAGTGCTGTCTGAATATTATGAGAAGAAAAGTTAATTGAATGAGAAACATATTGACGAATTAATGATGGTTTAATTGGTTCGGTTTGCATGTCTCAGAGATAACTTTGTATGCTAGTGATTTAGTTATGGTGGTATATACTTTATTAATTAAAAATCAAGTTTGATAATGATAAGAAATTGATAAGCAATTACATCCTTCTTTCTTGGCAAGCTACCTCCATACCCTCGGTGATTTCAGCTCTCAATTTTCTCCCTACATTAGTGATTATATAAGGCTGTCTCTTTCAACTCAAAGGCCTTGTATTCTGCAGTAGTCATGAGCTATTTGTAGATTTTTCCCGCTTCTTGATTGTAATGGAAGTTATATATGTTGTGGCCTACTTATTGACAATGTGAGAAAGCATTAGATCTTGTCATTTGATTTCCAGTATGCAATCTGTTTAAATTTGATGAACCCCTATGCCATTTGTTTAAATTTGATCAACCTCATTCTAGCTATGTTAATATTTATTCTTTAACTAGTTACCTTTCATCATGGTTCAGCATTTTTTTGTTTCTTTATGATTCCTTCTTTCTTCTTTAACCACAAATGCCATTTTACTTCTCTATTTGCAGACTAAAACCTTAAGGATCAGATTAATCTTTTTTTTTTTTTTAATTTCAAAACCCTGAGAAGGGCCAGACTTGTGTCCAGATTTCTTTGAGAACGTTGCATTCAGACATCATTTAGCTGTCATCTTCAATTTGTTATCGATCTTCAGGCTCCTCATTCCTCAGATGCATCACTCTAGACCACTGGCGCATTTAAACTGATAAAAAAATGCTCAAAATTTCCAAAATCCTGTTCAATAATAATGCCAGAGTCTCAAACATTTAATATGCCTTATTGGCAACTTGAACAACCCAAAATTTAGGCTTGAGAAATCCTAATCTTGAATGGAAAATAAAGTCCTAATCTAACCAAGGGGTAAGCTGTACCAGATCCAAATAACTAAAACCTAAATTCCTATTTACAAATCATAGTCCCATAATTAAAATTGTTAGAACAGAACAATCACACACACAAAATTGCAAAATAAAAAAGAGAGAAGAGAAAGAAAAAAAAAAAAACAAAAAGTTCACCCAATATGAGTTACGTCCAGTAATATTTCACTATTTTATCCTTACTACACTTGTTACAAAGCACTCTGTTTACAATAGGAATATAAGAGCCTGTTGGTGTGATGTATAAGGCCTGATAGTATAAGCTTATACTATACGTTATAATATTTTTAGTTGTTTGATGTGATCATCGTATAGTATAAGCTTATACAGATCCCTTTATACATTAAAATGATGTATAACTTAATTACGCCTTGGAGGGTAGGATTAGGCCTGATAAGAGATTGATGTATTAACCAATGCAATTCTCAATAATTAATATATTATTTTAATATTAATATATTAGAATAAAAAATAATTTTTCAATATATAATTTTTTAAAATATTGTAGATTTTTATTTTTATAAAAATTAATATATTTTTTGGACACACTGATTAAGAGATTTCTATAAAAATTAATATCATCTGATATATTTAGAAGAATTATATAAATCATTATTAAAAGGTATTTTTGTCAAAAATATTTATTTTTATTCTATATAGTATTATACAGTGCATTACCAAATATTGGATGATATTATCTTATACAGAATATTATCTTATAGAGGAAGGTTATATTTACAACCTATTTTTGTTTACAACCTTTTACAACCATAATCTTAACCCTTGATTTTCGTCAATCAACGATTATTATTTTCCCAAATTAAATTTATTAATTAATTATTAATTCGCAATAAATGATAACCGTTGATTGACGGAAATCAACAGTTAAGATTATAGTTGTAAAAGGTTGTAAATAAAAATAGGTTGTAAGTATAACCTTTCTCTATCTTATATAATATCATGCCAAATGCTGGATAGTATTAAAATTTAATTAGATTTTATACAATCAGGTCTTATATAGCTTTAGTCATAGAGGCATTTTTGGCATGTGATCGGGATGAGCAATTGGCAGCCAACTATTTACTGGAAAATGCTGGGGATTATGAGGATTAAACAACTAACGAACGATGTCTTTTTTTTTTTTTTTTTTACATTGATTTATTTTAAAATTATATTAGTCTTTATATAATAATTTTCCCCTAATTCTATAATGTCGTTTTGGGTTTGAGACAATTTTATTTGTGGTGGAAGAAACAATCTTTGTCTATTAAGTTACATTACAAACAATAATATAGTATTGGTGATTGAATTATAGAACATTTATTATTATTATTATCTGTTGGGTGACTAATGCGTAATACTATATATTATTTTAATATCTACGGTTAGAATATATTATAATATTTTGTTTGTCTTACATTGTTTTGCGGACAAAAACTGATCTGATAATTGGGTGGATAAGATTTGTAAATTGATTTAGTAATATTTTTGAGATTTGCACTATTGCTTTAGTTAAATTTTTTCCGTTACTCAAATGCAGCTTCTGTTTTAGTATTTCCACACAGAAATGCTAAATGTTGTTATCACGAAATACACTTCGAATCAAACGGGTACAGCATATGACTACAAAATCGGGTTTTGCACTTATAATGATTGGAGACCTGTTTCGTAACATTTTCCGTGTAATGCCATTCGTAGGATTACCCAAATGGAGAGGTAATCCTATCGTCTTAACATTTTCCCATTCAAAGTTTACTCCAATAAAATTATTAGTCACGACTCACGACAAACTTCTAAGTTTCAGCAACCCAAAATTGGTGGGAAACAAATTAGGAAGACAAGAACAAGCAAAAGATTTCAAATATACAATGACATTCTTGTACACTAAATTGGGAGATCTTCTACATTTACAAGATGAAGTTTGTTCAATACGTTCTCCAATGCTTGTACTGTAGTCCTGTAATGGTCATGGGATTTCTTACCTTCCTCCACGACCTTCACAATCTGTCTGTATAAATGGTCATACCTATGTACTGGGCTATTAACATCAATGCCACTGCAATTGTGATCATAAACATTGGTACGCTTCATATCTTTTCTCCATCGTGAAAGAATGTACTGAGGTGGTATCTCTTTTATGCCATTTTGGCTTAAGATAAATAAAGCATGCCTACACAAGAATCCTCTGAAATTGAACAAGCCACAAATGCAAAGGACCTCCATTTCATCTCCATTGTAATACACCTCATAATCTCTTGTATCTCTCTGATTTCCCTCAATTTCAACTTGTTCCTTCACAATGTATGTGATTAATGGCCCATCAACATTTATCTGTCTGGTGCTAAAGCAAGAGTACATTCCTTCCACTTCCCTTTCGAACATTCTTAATATTTCATTGGTGTATAACTTCGAAACCTGCAACTCAAAATTAGACCTTGACTTTGGCATAAAGCTAGAAGTTTTTGAGTCCAAATCTGCCAAAGCGTCAAGTTGTCGCTTTGTCTGTAAAGCCTGATCATATCTTTCCAAAAATTCTTTAAGGGAAGTTTGTTCATAAAGGTACCCGTCAAAGAAAAATGATACAACATCACTTGGTTGAATTGGAAACATGCCTGCCAAGAAATTTTCCTTCAGATAAACTGGAACCCACCGTTTCCGATCTTCATACAATGATTGAAGCCATTTATGGCCTCTAATTTCATTGCTTTTCATCATGTCCTCCCAATTTGCTTCAAATTCCTGAGCCCCCAGAGAGGAATAAACTGCTCTCTTCAGATCTGCATGGATTGCTTCATATTCTGGAGATGTTCCCAGTTTTTCTGGAATATTTTGCATGATATTAAATAAGCAAAAACAGTGTGTACTTCTTGGAAAAACATCAGCAACCACAGTTTGCAAGATTCCACATTGGTTGGTAATGATAACTTGTGGGGGGCGTCCTAAGATACATGTAAGCCATGCCCTGAAAAGCCATGTATATGAATCAATGGTATCACCAGCAAGCAATCCACAACCAAACAAAATGCATTGTTTATGGTGGTTTAATCCAAGGAACAGAACCAGGGGAACTTGATATTCACCTGTCAAACATGTAGTATCAATTGTGACCACATCACTAAAATAACTGTATGCTACTCTGGACTTTGCATCGGCCCAGAACAAATTCCTCAAGCATCCCCTCTCATTGATATCCGCCACATAGAAGAAGTTTGGATCTGCCAATTGCAAGTGACTACAAAAATTCAGAATCGCTTCAGCATCACCTTTCCTTAGCTTCAATTGATTGGTGTAAAGATTTTTTTCGGATTTCCCTTGATCAACATCGACACTTACATCAGCCTCAGCATCAACTATCACAGTTTGAAACATCCTAATTTTCTGAACTTGTTCAGCACCATCTAATTGCAATGTTCTTTTGTTCCCAAGAGCAACTTGCTTATGTGACTTATAAAACTTTCCACTGGTGGGGTTAATCAAGTGATTGTGGTCAAGCTCAACTTCTATAATTCTCCACCTTTTGGAGTCCATCAATCTGAACTTGATCATAGCAGGACAACCAGTTCTGGTTTCAGGTCTGGGGCGATTTGCTTCACTTCTTTTCTTGAAGCCTGCACTGCTGCAGCTAAGTTTTGCTCTGTAACGTTCCTTACTCTTGCGGTACCAGGTATTAGTTACTCTAACCCCAAATCCCTGTTCCTTAGCATAGCAATTATAGAAGTAATAAACATCCTCATAAGTCTCAAATTCCATTCCAACAGCAGGAGGAAGAGGGTTCTGTCCTTGAATGATCCCATTTTGAATGACAAATTCACTTTCACAGTCCCCTTCTTCTTCAATCTCAAATTCATCATCCTCATCTTCTACTGGCTCACTGTTGAGACAAACTTGCTCCATCCAACTAAACAATGCAATTCAAAGCCTACAAGCCAAGAGGGTCTGTGTCTCATTGCAAAATCAAATACTTAAAAACGTAAAATTCTTCCTTTCCCCACATTCAAAAACAAGACCCATTTATTCTATTTCTTAGTTTAATCTTAATAATATTTAACAACAGAAAACACTATTAACTTACCACTTTAGGATGGCGACTTTGTAGTTGGCAGTGGCAGATTTCACTTCAATAGTTCAATTCTTCTTCTTCAACCTCCTTCCAGTTCCACCTTGCTTATGCTTAGGGCTCCCATTCGAATTTGGAACCCTACTTCACTCACAGCGGACGAGGCTCATACGACGTCGTATGGGGTTTCAACCTCAAATTTTAAATATTAGCATATACATATAGAAATATTTTGGAATGTTTGGGAAAAAAAAAAGGATTGGTGATTCATGAAATTTTAATAGGTTTGAATTTGTGAAGTAAAATAAATGAAAATTCAAAATTTTACAAATTGAAACCCCATGAAAACAAAACTAATTAATTGATTAACTAACGAAATACCTAAATAAAAAGTAAAATCATACACCATTAACCATACTCGCTCGCGCATGCTATATTTTATGGAAAAAATATTTATGCAGTTAATACAGATAAATTACCTTTATTTATTCTCAAAATAACATCGTTTTGGTATTGAAATCTTAAAAAATTATAAATATAAAGACTGTTATAACCCTTAAATAAATTAAAATTACAAAAACACCATGATTTTCGCCCCAAAATAACGTCGTATTGGACTCACTGCATATAACTTATGTGCAGTAACTGCAAAAAAAGCGAATCCATATTTTATATTGTAATATATAGATAGATTACAGAAAAATATTTCCGCAGTTACTGCAAATAAGTTATCTGCATTTACTCCCAAAATGACGTTGTTTTGGTGTTAAAATATTAAAAAAAATTAATTATAAAGATTATTATAACTCTGAAATAAATTAAAATTACAAAAATATCTTATTTTCGCCGTAAAACGATGTCGTTTTGAGCTCAATGCAGATAATTTATCTGTAATGAACCCTTAAACAGCAAAATGTTTCTGTAGTTACTACATATAAGTTATCTGCATTTATTCCCAAAACAACATCGTTTTAGTGCTGAAATATTAAAAAATTATAATTATAAAGATTATTATAATCCTGAAATAAATTAAGATTACAAAAATACCTTGATTTTTGCCCCAAAACGACATCGTTTTGGGCTCAATGCAAATAACTTATCTGCATTAACGGTAGAGCAAACGAACCCAACCTTAAACCCATAAAAGTACTATAAATGAGAAGAAGAATGATAAAATTTTATTACATTTATCTTTAAATTTATGTTAAAATCATATTAAAAAAAATTACATGAATTCATAACTTTATACTATATTGTGATTTCCAAACCAATTAGTTTGAAAATTTTCCTTCCTCTTGGAAGATGTTGAAATAATGAATAGTTACCGTTAGCCGTACCAAGCACAATTCAAATCAAAATTAGTACATTTCCCAAAGCCTTTTCAAATTCAAACATCCTATTCCTATGTTCCAATCAGCCGCACGTTAAGTGAGTGCCATGATCAAAGGGACCCCACATGTCGTTGCTAGTTGCTACTACACCAAACTTACTTCTTAAATCATCCAAGTTCAAGTTCAAATAGCACCACCAAGTAGTAATGTCAAATCCTGTTCAAAACAACAACCATTCCATCAAGATGAATGGTTCCCAAAAATCCTCAACTTCATGCCAGCCATACAATACTCTCTATTACAATCCCCTCAACGAGTTGAGGCACAGCCGTAGCTGTAGCAGCTACTATGGCCGCATAGCCTCCAAAGGTGACGACGACAAGGAAAATGCCAATGGGTTCTCTTCCAATGACAACAAGGAAAATGTTCTAACCAAAGAAATCCATGACAAGAAGGAAAATGCAAATGGGTCATCTCCCCTGCACAAGCCCTTCTCAAAGTCCAAGTCTTTGTCCGCAGACAGGATTTTGAAGCCCTCTTCTCTCCACTTCTGCATGCAAATGAACGAGCCAGATAGGGGTTTTGGGTCCAAGTTATGGGATCCTCTTGAATCCCACAATTCCAGCTCTTTGAATGTTTGGGATTACTCTGACTCGGAGGCTGCTCCAGCTTCCTCCTGGTCCACATTGCCCAATAAGTCAGTAACTTTTTTTTTTTCTACAATTTTCATTTCCAGTTTAAATTTGATCTTATTAATCTCAATGTATGTTCAGGTCTTTGATCTGTAGACCCTTGCCTATAGATATTGGAAGGTGTACCTGTGTTATTGTGAAGGAAGCCACACCACAAGGACTATCTGGGGGTGCTTTGTTTTCTCTTTATACCTATGTGAGATTTCTGTTATTTGTCATGTTAAGAATACTTTATGGACTCTCAAATCATATATCTTCGCCATTAGAAGTGGACTACTGATAACCATCATCAAGTTATAAACTTATCAGCTGTTAATTACGGGCAAAAAAGTGTTCAGTTTGACTACTTTTATGTATTGGATAGGCCATTGTTATGGTAGCATGCATGTCTTGGCATCCTTCCATCCTGTAACAAGAAGCTAAAATTTAATTTCTGAATCACAATAATCCGCTACTAGGACCAAACTGTAGATTGTAGCATGTGCTCTGCTTCACTTTAGAGGATCAACTTTGCACTTTAGAGTATCCTGATTCAGCAGGAAATAGGTCTCCACATCTACCATTGTGGATGGGGTGTATTCACATAATAGTTATACTATTATGATCATTACATGTGCTGGTCACATTCTTTAATTGCTGCTTGTGACTTTATTTCTGTTAAAGAAATATTAAATCATTAATATAGCTTCACCTAGCAAAAATTTTAAGTTGAATTGGTTTTTACTTTATATCAAAGTCTTGATGTCACGGGTTTGATCTTCACCATGTTCGATCTTCACCATCCCCCATTTAATTAATAATTAATTAAGTCGTGTGGAGTTTCTTAACACATAGGTGGGCCTATGCATTATCCATCTTTCAAACTCAACGAGCTCTCGTATGAAGGGGTATATTAGAGATATATAAAATCATTAATATAGCCTCACTTATTATCTCCCACCTTCCTATATATATAAATGGTTCTTTACAATTTCCATATGCAATATGTCATTATTTTATTTAGCATCTTGTGCATATTTTACAAACCCTGACTTTGAGGGTTTCTTATATTATAGGAAGGTCAGGGACGGCAGAATAGGAAACTAGCTGTGGCCCACCACAGGCGGCGGAATGGGAGGTCTCAGTTCACCGTAGCTCAGAATGTGAAAGGACTACTTTCCAATTCAGATGATAGTTTTCTTGGGACCGTAACAGCTAACCTTATGGGCTCAAAATACCACATTTGGGATCAGGTTCCGTTTTTTGTTATCTATCCGTGAACAATGCACTAATGTGTGTGATTAATGAACAAATTTTGTAATATTAATTTCACCGCTGATATGTTTGATTATCAGGGATATCGTCGTAAATCCCATAGTAAACAACCAAAACCACCTCTTGCTGTTGTGACGTAAGCCAATATCTTCATCTTTCTCATTCCCTACAAGGTGTCAGTGTCCTCTGCTAATTACAGAATCTGGTTGTCGTTGCAGGTATATACCTACAATAGCAACATGCACAGGAAGTCACAGAAGCATGAGGGCTTATATACCCAAGCATCAATCTATGTCACTGAAGAACACGACCCAGGTTAACTAAAAATGTTTTCTATAATGGGTTATGTTGAGAAATACAGTCCCACATTAGTTGTATGAGTAACTAATGTGAGGTTTATAAGGCTTTGGGCACTCCCACCCTTTGAGCTAGCTTTTGAGGCAGTGACCTCAAGGTTCTTAACATGGTATAGAGCATTCGAAATCTCACTGCCTCCCACTTTCTTTGTAGTGGAATTTCCACATGTAGGTGGGCTTGTATGTTGTCCACCCTTCAAGCTTAGTGGGCTCTCGTGTGAGGGGGCGTGTTGAGAAATATAGTCCCACATTGGTTGTATGGGCAACTAATGTGAGGTTTATAAGGCTTTGTGCACTCCCACCCTTCCCTTTGAGCTAGCTTTTGGGGTGGTGACCTCAAGATTCTTAACAGGTTACGTCCATACTATCATCACAGACACAGATGTCTTGGATTTATTTTCAAGAATATGATCACATCAACTATGTCTGCATAATCACATTATTTACAATTAAATTAGGAGTTCCATTTTCTAATTCAATAATATTTCTTCAGTTACAGGTACAACATATTAAAGGACTACCAATGGATTGGGAGCAAAAATTGGACAAAACCCATCAACTATTCTCAAGGGTTCCACTGTACAACAAGGTAAGGAGCCTAGAATGCAATGTTTATTTGTCTTCAGCAGTCAGGCAATCTGGACTTGATTAATTTCTATTGGCTTTCTTCAGAATTCAAAGCAATTTGAGCTTGACTTTAGAGATAAAGGAAGGGCAGGACTTAGAATCCAAAGATCGGTAAAAAATTTCCAGCTGACTTTGGAGGTATGATGAAAGTAAATATTATGTTATTTCTGTTGGTGGTGAATATCAGAAGTGTAAGCTGTTGAAGCAGAGAGACATATGAATGTTTTTATATTATATATCTAGCATGCCATTTCATGTAAAATTAAGGCATGAACAATGCACTTGCCCATTTACTTTGATCTCAATTCAATTTTTTATTAGAATGATAGGGCGACAAGAACTGAATTACATGATTATAGAGGCTTTAATATCATATTATGAACCAACAATTCCACATGAATGATTTTAAATTGCATACACAAATTTCACACTTGTTGAGATATATAGTCTCTCATTGGTTGTATGTGCAACTAATGTGGAGTTTATAAGACCTTGGGCACTCTCACCCTTTGAGCTAGCTTTTGGGGTGGTATATCCCTAGTTTCTTTACATGGTATCAGAGTCTCGCCGCCTCCCACTTTCTCTCGTGGTGTTTCTTAGCACAGGTAGGCTGAGCCTGTTGCATTGTCCACTCTTCAAGCCCAATGGGCTCTCGTGTGAGGGGGCGTGTTGAGATACTCCCACTCTTTGAGCTAGCTTTTGGGATGGTGTATCCCTAGTTTCTTTAGGACACTTTTTTTAAACCTTGGTTTGAACTGCATATGCATGTCATTCAGTTTTAGTCCAGCATATTTCGGTGTTTAACTTGGTACAAACAGTAAACATGTTTGTTCAGTTTAAGTAAAGATTACGGGATTGCCATATGAGTTGTTCTCAAACCATTAGTTATGTTGTGCTGTGATTAGGAGAATGGGAGGCAGACGATCCTGCAGTTAGGGAGGGTGGGAAAATCAAATTTCGTTATGGACTACAGGTATCCACTAAAACAATAGCTTTATTGAGCAAATAATCTTTTGTTATATGTACCAATATGAATTTTAGAAATATTGGAAGTGGGTTTGACAACAAGTACATTTTCCTGCAGATATCCTCTGACAGGTTACCAGGCGTTTTGCATATGTTTGGCTTCCATTGATTCCAAGCTTTGTTGCACAGTGTAATGGGAAATTTCTGTTACCACACTCTCGGTTCAACCTCCGAACTGAAAGATGGGGCTTCTCTGGTTTCACCCAGCCCGCAATCCAGAAATGACCATTGGAAATTTCTGTTTCCACATTCTGTTTTTGAAGCATAATTTATCTAATCTACTGTGTTCTTCAATGCAATGTCCCCCACCCTCTTTAGGTAACGTGGCCACTTTCCTTTTTGGGAGTCATATGTGGTACCTTTGGTTCTCATTAAACTAAACGTTCGGTGAAAATGAAATGAAGTTACCCAAAGAAAATGAAGACCTTCTTGAGTGCATTGATCTGGACACTATTACCTGCTAGATTTAACATTTAACACTGAGTCAACGAAATTAGTTGGTTAGGTAGCACCTCACTTTCAACCCCTATCCTTTAACTCCATGCAAAATTGTGCCTTCGGTGGGTGGATGAGGGTGAGCGAAGGGGCGCATTTGTAATGGGAAATTGTTATTGCGCTTAATTTTTTATTTTAGGTATGTTAGAGAAAAATATGTAATTTATTCTGAAGAAGATAGATTTATCTCTATATTCGTACTCAATTACACGTTTTTTTATATATAAGAAATGTGTGTAATTTGATCCTTGGATTGATCTGATCAATTCGTAAACTAGTTTGAAATTTAGTTTTCAGTGTGGTTAAATGTTAAAGGGAATAATATTTTTAGGAGGTAATTTTATTTTTTATATACACGTAAAATATATACAATCTATGTGGGTCTATAAAATATATATATATATATATATATATATATATATATATATATATATATATATATTTTTATACATGTGTTTGAGGGCTTTTTGATCATTGTAGTCCTTATTTAATAATTAATTATCAAATTGACCTTGATTATAAACTATTTCGAAAATTTAACTTTTTCAAAAAATATAACACCAATCTACCCTTGTTTGACCGTTGACCATCAAGCCTACTCGGGTATCACCCTTCCTAACTGGGTATTTTTTAAAAATTTATCCTACTCGAGTAGGGAGGAGGATACCTAAGTATATTTCATAAATATGGGAAAATGCTTGAATTATTTACCCGGGTAGGGAGGGGGCTACCCGGGTAAATTTCTGCTAGAAACCCCAATATCAATGGGTTTCGGCCATTGTTGCGAGTTACAGGTTTTTTCCCCCCAAATCTCTCTCCCTTGACATCTCTATTCTGAATCATCACATATATTTCATCTCATCATCTCAAAAAGCTTAATCTTGGTAGGACATTGGCATTACACCTCCACATTCCCATTTTGTGCTCAAAAATCCGAACTACGATCCAAACCCAAAACCTAGACCCATTTTTCGTGTGAAAGATGAGTTCAAGTCCAAACATGGTTCCTATAGTTATTTACTACAATGGGAGGCATTTTGAAGGTCCGAACGGTGTCCGATTTGAAGGAAAAACAAAAATGATGAAAATCAAAGTGGGCACTACATGCAATGAACTGAAGGAGAGAATTCTCCAAAAAATGGGGTTAGAAGGCATCCAATCCATCCACCGCATGATAGCCAGGTTAGAGACTGTAGTGGATATGGATACAATATTCTACATTGGTAACAATATCAATGATGATGAAGATGTGGAGTTCGTAACAAATGCGTTTGTTGGATGAAAAGTATTAAAATTGATTGAGATATAAATTGAAGTTGATGATGTCAGTCTTCATCTTTACCGGTGCATACAACCATTGCACACTGTACTGGTCAAGAAGAGCCTGATGCATAGCAGCCTAGGGCTGAGAGGATGACGACCCATCGTGTCAACGCTTTGTCCTCCTCTCGGTATCCCCCATCGGCATCTTTGAAACGCATCTAGAAGCCATTGCGTCACACTATGAAATTGAAAAATCAGAAGCATAACTGTTAGGGTTAGGGATACAGTTAGTAATTTTAAAAATTAATCGGTCATAATCGAATGTTTAACCATGCAAACTACAAAAACGCAATAACTTTTGGATACCAAGTGACAAACATATAATCAGAACCCAATTGATAAAAAGGAAAAAAAATGAACCTTCAATGGATTTCAATCGGTAGAAGGCAGCAATGTAACGTGCGCGAAGTAATGATCACAATAAAGAAGAATTTCAGCAAGATTTGGTGTGGGAATCACGTTATTGCACAACTCCAGCAGCTCTACCCGGGTACCCCCTTTGTGGGTTTTCCAAATGGGGGCTGCTGGGTTATTTAAAAACCCTACCCGCGAAATTTACCCGGGTAGCCCCCTCCATACCCAAGTAAATAATTCAAGCATTTTTCTCGATTTATGAAATATACCTGGGTATTCCCCTCCCTACCCAGGTAGGGTAAAATTTTCAAAAAATACCCGGGTAGGGAGTGTAACATCCCGTGTATACCCGATTTGTTAACATATCATCGTATTAAGCTGCGCTTAATTAAAATGCGGAATATCTTTTTCTTTTCAATTATGACGTCATTATACTTAGCCAAGTTGATTACTTAATCAATTTCATAAAATATCGCCTGTATGTAAATTGCAACAAGACATCTAACTGAAATACCTCATAAAATATATATAAAGTGAGTATCTATGTCACATATTCACTACACGTAGTCCGGACAATAATCCTGATACATTAATACAACTCCAACATTAAACAAGACATAATCAAGTCTATGTGGCATAGACAATCCCCATGCTCACCAAATCAACAACATAACCAACAGAGTCTCAACAGAGAAATCCATAAACTGAAGCTAAAAGCATAAGACAGTAAATAAGATCCAACATCCAATCATAACAGCATATCAGCATAAGCAGCATAAACATGTAACATCTATCAGCTAAGCTCTGGCCTCCAGCCACTAGAGGTCTCAACCCCCGCATTACTTGAACCTGAAATAAGTATTCCCCAAACGTGGGGTGAGATCTCTAAACCAGAAATCTCAGTAAGATAAGGGGTCCTCAAGGATCTTCTACCCCAAGCTCACTTACATGTGCAATATAAGTTCCAAAAGAAGTAATTCAATATAAGTTCCAAAACTCAATGCAGTGCAACAGATATTCATACCATGTGTGTTTAACTATTCTACTGGCCAGAGAAATGCAGGAATACGTCTATTACCTACAGATAGTACAAGGAACACCGCTTGCACCTCACCCACAGCCTCACCATATTGTATGTACTACATATTCAGGCTTATTGTATAGGTGGAACACCACATGCATATCATAAAGGCACTAGCATATAACAGCTCAATAGCATTTCCAAAACATCAAAAGCATGTAACACAGCATGCATATAACCATACCCCCATGGGACATGGTGGAACCACAACATGGCTAAACCGAGGACACGAAAGCTTACCTTGCAAGCTCACAATTCAATGCCAAGAGTCCACATAGCTCAACGTCCACAAACAGTGCAATCACAATCTGTTTGGACCAATAATTATATCAATAAACACAGCTCATACGCATAAACATAAAGACTACGTTTTCCTTTAACGGTTTACGTCTTTAGGCTTCTCACAAAGTCACGAGCCCTAAAACACTTAGGTTCTGACTTAGATAATTAAAACGGAAGTTCAACTTCATCAATCTAGGGTCCACAAACCCCCAATAGCTTACTGTATGAATAGTGCAATTACTGTTCTTCGAAATCCCAGAATATTCGAATATTCGTCGGGGGGATATCAGGATATCTCTCTTCCAATATCCGGATATCCATATTCTCCGGATATCAATATCCGGATATTCACAACAAAATATCCGGATATTTCGCGACAGAACCCAGATTCTGCATTTCGCGAAAATCCAAATCAAAGGTTCAACTTTTACTGATTACAGAAGCTTAAACATGCATTTCTAAGTGTTTTAAACATTACCCAACGTTAGGTTATCATCTTTAGCTCATTACATGCATCAAGGTTCCATTTTTAACCAATAACTCATGATCAAAGGTTGAGTATGTTTATCAAGCTTCTCAAAACAGAGAATGGCAGGGAAATGGAGCTTCCTACACCACTCCACTGTGCAGCAACCAAAGGGCCACGAAATGCACAACAAGAAGACTATTTTCTTCACAAAGGTGGCACTTTGAAGCTCAAAATACCAACTCCAAGATCCCACAAACCAACTCTCTAAGTCAGCACCTACTCACCCTCAACTAGAGGTTATAACTCAGCAAGAGAGTCACTCACAACCTCACAAGACCAACCCAACCAAGGTAATGATGTTTAGAGATGAAGAGATGGAACAAAGGTGGCAACTTGGCTCAAGAAATGGAGGAGAAGACCAATGGAACAGTGACCAGCAGCTGACCATCCCCAAGACTCACGTAGGATCAATATTATGGCCAAGGGTTTTGGGCCAACTAATGTATATATAGCGGTTTAAGTCATTAACACACAGTATTATCGTTAATTGCTAGGCTTAGCATTTTAATCCCAAACTAAGGATTATTAACCTACTCAATTTTACAAGAATTATCATATTTTTATTATATTTTTCGCAGCACCTTTCCTGTACGCGCTTTTCATAGCCAGTATCAGTTTCTGGCACCAGTTCTCATTATTCTAACTTGAAACTCGTTTTACAAGTCCTATATATTATTCTAGGAATTATCATGCACTTATTATAATTTTCTGGGATACTTTTTCTGTACGCATTTATACCGACTAGCAGAACTGGTATCTGCGTTTTTCGTCTGAAAAATGACTTTCAGCATTATTAACCACTTTCTATAATTAATTAAGCCTCATAATAATTATTAGAGTCAATTATGGAATTATTACCTAATTCTCATATCTAATTAATTAATTTCCTTAATTAATGGTACGGGTTCTTACAGGGAGAGTGATACCCGGGTAGGCTTGATGGTCAACGGTTAAACAGGGGCAGATTGATGTTATGTTTTTTGGATAGGTTAAATTTTCAATATAGTTTATAATCAAGGTCAATTTGATAATTAATTATTAAATAAGGACTACAGTGGTCAAAAAGCCTGTGTTTGAGAGTAAAATTATCTCGAAACACTAATCTCAATCTTAAATGGATCTTCTTTACCTTTTGGAATATGAATTGTACTTGTAGTAAGCTGTAAATTAAGACACATGTCGCACTTAAACATTTGGGATAACACCTCTGACAGTTAAGTCGAGACTTGTCCCTACGGTCCATATTACCAGCTTGAAATTCCATTTTATGTATATAAAAAAGGAAGCAAATATGTAGTGGTCCGGAAGGGAGCCATGCATCCCCATAGAGATAAAGGGGAGGAGAAAGGAGAGAGAGAGGTCCATGGAATTAATTTTCTTAAAAATGGTCATATTTATCTCAATTTATATGAGAGGAAAAATTTTTCTACACATATAAAAGAAGGATAGATACCATCTCTTTTTTTTCTCTTTTTCTCCTCTTATCCGTGTGTCTCACTTATAATTTTGTTTCTACTACATGAGATAATTCTTTTTTTACAACATAAAAAAATTATTTCCCGTAAAAAAAATGATTATAATAATTCCAGTACAGAAATAACTTTATGATTACGCACAAACGCAATACTTAATTTAAAAAAATTATGTCACAATTAGATGGTCTTTTGATTTTATTTTTAATCACCATCTATAGTAACTCTGATTTATAATACATCTAATGGTATAATATTAACTATTTAATCTTATATAATTCAGATTAATTAAGTGAGAGGGTTAATAAAAAGGATTGGATTAAATATTAATCATACACATTGTAGATAAAATAAGTGAAAATACTTAGTTCAATCAATGTAGAGTGGATTTGTGATGGGAGATTTAATCATGCTTAATCAGATTAATTAAGTGAGAGGCTTAATATAAATGTTAGATTAACTATTAATTGATTAATCACATTATAAATAAAATAAGTGGGAAAACTTAGTTCAATCAATGAGTTGTAATTATGAATGAAACTAGTGCCTTAAGTGAGTGTGAAGGAAAATGGGCTTTTTACACAACATGGGCCTATCATCCCTTCTTCGTTGGACAGCTCGCAGGAGCGAGTTGCCCATTGAGCAACGCGGGGACTTGAAAACTCTCACCTATACCACTCTCTCTCCTCACCAACTCATTTCTTCCTCCAATTACCCGATAGAAACACCATTAATGAGCATTTGGTGAGCTCCAAAACCTAACTCCCTTGTTGTTCCAATGAATGAAATATAATGCATGATGTGTGATGTTTGTGGTGTGGTGTAAAAGGGATTCTTACATGGGTAGATTGCACGGATGTGTAATTCCTGTTATATATTGCACGATTACGTAAACCATACATTGTTATCTGGCCTAGGATTATTTGTCTAGAGCATCCTATTTAAGGTATGTTTATCACAAGGGATTGCTAGGACACTTTCGTTTGTATTCTGAAGACAGTAGGAACTAGCAGGAATATTAGACAGCTATTTGTACACTTGACATGCATACATTCATGATTATGTTATTTATTGCTTGTTGCCTGAAGTAAGCTTTGGGGTGAAGAGATTCTCCAATGACTCCTAGTTTACCGAGATATCCATTTCACCCCATGTTTCGGGGGCCCTTTTTCAGGTATTGACGGTGCTGGAGCACCTATTGACAAGAGGCCACAGTAGATTGCATGGAGTATATATATATATATATATATATATATGTATATATATATATACATATATATATATACATATATATATATATATATATGGGTTTAGTGGATGTACAGTGACTGCACCTGAGGATTGGTGCGGTCAACTATGTACTCCCAGAAGTACACCTGAGAAGAACAATGTACTCTGGTGTACTTCCGAGAGTACATAGTTATAATATTTATTATAACTTTGTGATTCTTGGAGTACACAGTGAACAACACCAATCTTTAGGTGCAGTCACTTTACAAACAATCTTTAGGTGTAGTGTACTCTGGTGTACTTCTTGGAGTACATAGTTATAATAGTTATAATGTGTGTGTGTGTGTATTTTTTTTTGGAGCATCCTATCGTACATGTATATGAATTACATTTTGTAGCTCATTCATATATTATGATGTATTTTGGTGGACTTAGCCTATGATCATTTTCCTTTGGTATCTTATGTTGTTGGAAGGAGTCTAGGATTGTGATCATAGCTATTTTGTTTAGCTAAGTTCCATTTTGTATATTTGAGTTATCTGATGTATTTGAGACATTTGAACATTTTGTAATCTTGGACTTTATGCATTTATGAGGAAAGGGCATGGATGCCTATTTTGCATGTTTTAAAGTCTAATGCCTATGTACTTTACTTTTGCATATTGATAATTGATAATGAATTATGCAATGTTGTCAATGGAAATGTAAATTAAGTTAAAGTCACATCACATGGAATTCAAGTAAAGATAAGAAGCATCAAGTTGTTGAGGATTGTTGGGATGTAAGTGCACCTTAGTTTGTTGGGCTAGATGTTGTCATTTCATGCTTCAATTAGGTACCAAAGACTGGTGAAAAGTCCCCTTGGTTTGTTAAAGAAACAAATGGACCTTGTGAGATGTTTGGGTTGCTTGTTGGAGACCTCGCTTGAGTGAGAGGTCCAACGAGCTAATTATTTGGTTGATAGTGGCCAACCTTGATGCAAGGGAACCCTCGCTGGCATGCTCGCTTGAGCGAGCTGACCAATGAGGGGTTTCAGCAAAGCAGAGCAATTCTCGCTCTTGACCTCGCTTGAGCAAGTGAGAGGTAAGGGAGCTGAAGGTTAGCTACTGCCTCTACACAGTAACTAAGTGCCCAATTGCTCGATGCACTTCTCACTAGAGCGAGTTGGGCAGCGAGGAAATTTATTGAGTAAGTCAGCGAGCACACGCGAAACACTCGCTAAGCTGCTCGCTAGAGCGAGCAGGACAGCGAGTAGCCCATTTTCTAAAAAAATTAGAATTTAGAGTGTGAGACCTTTAGGAACCTCATAGTAGTATCCCTTAGGACTAATATGATATGTTTAAGCATGTTTTTGTTATTCCGCAACATTACTGGGTTGCAATTACAACTTTGGTTATTTTAAATATAATATTGTTTTAAAAGGAAATGAACAATTTTTAAAAGAAAAGTTTATTTGTGTTTTTATTAATTGTACTAATGTGATTGTAACTGCAGTTAATATCATACGCATTATTAATGAATTAGATATACAACGGGGCGTTACACCATCCATTTATTAAGACTTTACTAGTTATGTATAAAATAAGGGTAATATAACTGTTATGTTGCATAATAGGATAATCCATTCCTGCAGAGCCATCGATTTGCGAGCCTATTCTTTTTAATTATTTTTTTTTACAAAATGGTGGGACCCGCAAAAATATGTTTATGCAGGAAAATCCAATTGCATTCTGTTACTTGAGAAAACTAAATCCCATAAAATAAATATTTGTAACTCAATCTTAAGTACTAACGACTCTTTGATTATTACTAGGTCACCGTTTGACTTGCTTTTCTTATGTTTTTCTTTACAATATTAATTATCCGTAGATATAGATTAATTTGATTAAACCAACGTGTTGTGGTTCAAATGATAGCTACTAATTAAGCTTGAGTTAAATGCTTGATGGGAATTGATCATCTTATGTCAAATTATCTCATGGGACATAATTTCAGTTATCTTTAAACAAATTAAAGAGAAAAAGTGTTAGGACAGAGAATAAGGAAATAGTAACTGTTGATTTGTATAAGGACCATAATAATTTAACATGACCTATTCATATTAAATGCGAAAGGGGAATATTCATTCCCATGTTCTAAATGAGATTTATCTCACACTAAGTCCTAATTAAACAGACTAAACAACCAAATGCTCAATTAAAGAATAATGGGGTCAAGAGTACAAAAAAAGAAAAAAGGAATATACGTTATTAAGCTATATTAAACATGGAGATATAATTTCTTGTGTTGTATGAGATAAATTGTTTCATTCAACACACAAAAAGTGAACGAGATCCATTAAAGGAGAAAAAAAAATCAAGTGAGTTTCATTCATTTTTATGTGTGTTATATAAGACAAATTGTCTCATTCAACATCAAAACATATATTCTCATTAAACAGTTTTATAAGAGTTATATTGTAAGAAAAGTAATTGTGTAATGTTATAGAGATTCGTTTTGCGTGCTGTAATTTTTTTTTTTTGCTTCAAAAAGTGTAGGCCCACAAAATATTGTGTGTAGAAAACTTTCTTGTGTCATGTTAAATGATAAATGCAAACTTCATTAAACATACACAGATCGCGATAATATATAGAACATTGAAGTTACCCCTCACCGCTGTATCATGCGAACGGTATTTTGTAGTGTGTAGTATGACGAGTTTCTCTTCTACATCGAATATTAAGTATACCGAAAGTAGTATGTAGTATGACGAGTTTCTTCTACCTAGGCTTAATTTGTATTGTGGATTTGGTTCTCCTCTCCCCTATATGCACGTTAGTTTAGTTTTAGCATCAAAAGAAAAATGGATAGTAGACAATGACATGAATCCGCGGAGAAGATTAATATGGAGATAAACATATTTAAATTAAATTGTTGAAATCAGGCCCTTACATACCATCTCGTTTTATATCAGTTATGATATAAGAATTGATGCAAGAATAAACCAATAAAAAATATCAAATCTTTTGTCTTTTGTTTTTATCCCGTAAGTTTATATAGAATGAAGAGGAAAGCAACTTTTTGCCCCCCTTTTCTTACTTTCCTCGTCTCATAAATTTCGGTTGGTCATAGTTTAGAGAAACCAACGAACGCATTTGAGGGACAATGTAAGCCAACTTGAAATCCTTATTCTAAGCATTAAGCTCACAATGAAAAATTGGAGCAGCAATTGAGGTCAACTCGCCAAATATAATGTCATCATTGTCAGCGTAGCTTCCAGAATCTTGACTTTCAAAAAATGTTTGAATATCTTCTGGGAATGTACGACGAGGAGGGTTTGACTCTGAAGGCGGTGGAGGGTAATCTGAAGCTGAAGTCCTTTCTAGCATTTCTTTGAATTTTGATGACTGCAAAAGAAGCCCCAATGCAGAAGAAGATGTTCCTGTCCCATTACTAGATTGTTTTGTAGCTTCATTTGTGGTCTCACCAGTGGTAGTGCTGAGTTCGTGGGAAACAAACCCTAGTTCAAGTTCAGGATTTGTGTTTGGACATTGTTGAGTGTCGCTATGGTTTTCATTGTTTTCTTGGTCTCGGGTCTTAGGACGTAGCCATTTGATATAACGACTAAGGTCAAAGTTTGTAACCGCATTAAGTCCACGGTATTCTATGGCTGCCATATCATATGCCACTGCTGCTTCTTCTTGTGTAGCTGCACATAAATGATGAGGCAATTTAATGTGTATGAAATTTTTGGTGGAGGATATTTTGTTTTTGTTTTTTCTTGGATAAAAATTGGACTCTTGAAGAATGAGACCATATTTTAAATAAAATTTAATAAGCAGTTGAGGTTTGGTGATCTACATCCCACCGAACTAGATTTGATTGCATATATATTTTCAACAATTTTAATTGTCTTGTTGATTTGACTATGCGGGACCATATTCAAAAAGAAGGTTGGTAACTTGGGATTGATAGATAGTAATTAATATATTTCTTCTTTCAACGAAACATATGTCTTTTTCTATTATAAGTAAAACTTATAGAGTGCCATTTCACCCACTTATATACTTCAAATTAATAGGCATCGCCAGTGGATACTTTTGATCCGATTTATATACGAAGCATATATTAAAATGCAATATATTTCTTTAAGTTGAATATAGTTTAATTATGTTGAAGATTTTTGGGCACTTTTAATTACTTGCATTACTCTGTATTTTTTATTGGAATATAAATAAGAATTACTAATACATTATTAGGAGGACAATTAATTTAGCTACTATTCATTATGGCATAATTAGATCAACATCAATGAAATTACCATAAGTTCCAAGGTATAGATATTTGTTGCCGAAGACTCTGCCAATTCGAGCTTCCCATCTTCCATTGTGGTGGTGTCTATACATTTAAAACAAGAAAATATCAGTATTTGAGAGTCAACGTCTTAAAGTTATTTACTGCCAAAGAGAGAAAAATTCGGAAATAGGATTTGAATATGGGAAGTGCTAAAATCGCCCATTTGTGATCATCCATTGAATACACTCTATATATGAGTAACCTCCATTAATGTTCATTATTATTAACAACCGAACTTGTGGACATGAAGGAGGCCAGATAGATGAAAGAACCTACTAATTGACTAAAGACATATATCCTAAAAATAATGCTTTGCAGACTATTGGGTTCTTAATCACACACATGTAATATGTAACCTACTTTTACTTTTATTTTTTATTGAGCATAACATGACCCACAAAGACTTAATTTGTCTGCATATCCTATTATTTAAATTAAATAATAATAATAATAATTGATTTTAAAGGAAAAACTACTCAAAATATTTTTATAAAAACAATGTGATGTTATATAAAAGTAAATATAAATTATAAATTATTAAATAATCTCAATTTATGCACTATCTCCTTTTTCAAACTCTGTTATTATCTCTATTAATTATTTTTTATGAACTCTTAACCACCTCTTTTCACATCCTTTAATTTATATGCGTTTCACTTTCTAGTTCTTACATATATAGTTCATTAACTTTTTTGGTCATGATCTACCGTACAGAAGAAAGTCCAATCTTGCAAAACATATCAATTGGCAATAGATAGATATTAATATGGGATTTTAGTGAAACTATATACCTTGCCACGCCTCTATATTTTGAGACTCCTCGAGAGAACCCGCTACTTTTTCTGTAATAAAGATTGATTCGTGAGACTCAAAAACCATAAGAAATGGCTTGTATGGCTCAAAAATATATAGAATAAATACCTTTTTTTGGTTCTTAACAAAAAATACGGTCCCCATTTTAGTCTCTTACAAAAATAAATTAGTCAGTTAGTCCCTAACAAATTCAAAGTGGATCTATTTAGTTAAAATTGTGGTCCCTCACAAATTCAAAAAAGACCCATATTAGTCCCTCAAAAGGACTAAAATGGGTCCACTTTGAATTTGTTAGGGACTAACTGACTAATTTATTTTTGTAAGGGACTAAAGTGGGGACCGTGTTTTTTGTTAAGGACCAAAAATGGTGTTTACTCAAATATATATAAAGCAAAAAAAAAAACATTGGCTTTCCAAATAATCTAAAAAATACATATGATATATGTAAACATTTAGTAACAAAAAACCTTCTTAAGGATCCAATATATTCTTCTTTTGATTGATCCTTCATCTCCTTGAGCTCATCTTGATAATTCGATAACTAGGATCAACAACATATATATGTGATGAAGTGATCAAAGTTGGTCTGAAATCATGATCATAAATTGAATGAAATTAAGGAGGAGAAGATTTACAGGGAAATTGAGGATGGTGTCTTGGCCCCAGTACTTCAATGCTGCCAAGTCATAGGCACGTGCTGCGGCATCTTCATCATCATATGCCCCTAACAAACCCATATTTCCAGTCATTAAATTCTCCAAATCTGATCCCGCAACGTACTCTCATAACTCCCCATTCCAAATAAGAAAAAATAATTGTCAAATGAAAAATATATATACATTTTAGACTAATAAATCATACCTAAATATACTGCAGCCAGTTGTTTTCCATCGCCATCATAAATATTCATCCACCAAGACAACATATATAGTGAAGGATTAAAATAAATCACACAACAAAGTTGGAAATATGAGAATAATATCAATTAATTAATTAAGATCTAAGAACCTTGTCTTCCTTTCTTGCTCTGCGATTCATTCCAGCAATTCTTATCCCACAAATGAGCCTCATATCGACCTGTCCATCGATGCCTATATATAACCATATATATATATATATTTAAGTACTCATGCATAATATTTATGTCTCTGAATATATTTATGTATAAGATGGGACAGAAAAAATGGGAGAATTCAAGAAACAAGAAGGAAAAAATAGCTAGCATTGAATCAACCAAACCTGGTAACACCACGATAGATTGAGCTTCGTTGTGAAGGGGTGTCTCTTGGGATGCTTTTGCGTGCACGCTTCACCTTCGACGTGGTTGTGCTACTTTTGTTGGTGTTAGCACAAGTATTGTTCTTGAGGCTTTTCTGCGACATCTTAGCCATGGAAATGAATGTTTGTAATAAGAGAGGAAAGGAACGCTGTACTTGGTACACAACTACACATACAGTTCGAGAGTGAAGGAAGAGAGAGTTATATGAATATGACAAAGTCATCCAATAACAAGGGCATTAATGGAAATAGTGTCGCAGAGTGAAAAAGTGGGTCTATTTCTTTATTTTCTCTCTCTATTTGTCTCTCTCTCATTTTCTCAATTTTTTTTTTTTAATATTGCAATCGGTTCATCGCTTAGTCACTAGTTCGATTTGAACGAGTTTCGAAATTAAAATTTTAAATAACTTCTAAATGTGATATTGTTAAGAATGGAACAGATACTCTCGCCTCCACCTGCTTAGTTTTCTAGCACCAACTGAGCCACCGTCATTTTATTCCTAAGTTCCTTCTCTCAATTTAATAAGACTACAATTTTAATATATATTCTTTTTCTATGTTGTTATTGTATTTTTCTTCTTTCTTTTTAAGCGATAATAAAAAGGGATGGAAGATGTGATCAAAGCAGTTGGGAGTTGAGCAGAGTGTCTAGGCCATAAAGATGGGGGGAAAATAGTATAGCCGGCAAGAAAGGATTGTTCTTATTGTGTGGCCGTCTTAAACACTTTTGTGTTTTTCTTTATGCTTTTGTCTTTACCATTTCTACTTTTCTGATCATTTTTGTAACCATCTACATGTTACTTTCCTTAGCCCTACAATTGTAATGCACTCCATGTGCTTTATTGCTGTTGTTTTTTTCACTCCTGTTATATATAATTAACTTATTTACATTAATCAAAGCAAACTTCTTATCATGATTTAGATTTAAATCAATTCTGCGTTATCATGATAGTAATTTTTGTTAGTAAGTGATATATATGTAATGCTTTTGTAAATAATTCTCATTAAGTTTGCTAATTTCTCTTTAACTTATAGTTGAGCGCCCCCTTACACCCCAATTATTATTATTTTATTTTTTAAAAAAGAACTATTTTAGTGTTTGAATCAAGTAGTTCTATAATGTTCCCGATCACAATGATCTCAACTATCTTAAGTTCTAACTAGTTATTTTAGTTAGTTAAAAACGAATAAAACGAATAGTTATACTACTTGCCTTCTCCAATGGCTCACAACCACAATAGTTAAAATCTCGATTTATCATTACGATTTTATTTTTTTATGATTTTTTTTTATCAAAATGGTTTTATCAATATTTCAAACGCTTTTGTGTTTTTACGATTTTTTTTACATTACGATCTTAAGTTTTATGATTTTTTATCCCCCTTTTAATTTCATGTAAAATCTCGATTTAACTACCTACTCACAAGTTCAACTTCCATGTATTATGTTCAAGTACTTTTTTTTTTAGGTATCCTCATTCAACCTTCTCCGGTCACCTTTCCCTCGGGGTACGGCCCTGTAGGCTAGCCCCTCATTGGAACAACGGGAGGAAGGATGAGACTAATCTCCCAATTGAGGAGGGAGGCACATCCTCTGACTCCTAAAAGTAGCGAATGAAGGATGAGACTAATCTCCCAACTAATCTCCCAATTGAGGAGGGAGGCACATCCTCTGACTCCTAAAGGAGGAGGATGAAGGATGAAGGATGAGACTAATCTCTCAATAGAGGAGGGAGGCACATCCTCTGACCTCCTAAAGATATTTCAAGAATTTGCTTGAGGCAGGGTTTGAACCCCTGACTCAAGCGAACCCTTGGGAGCCCAATTACCAACTGAGCTACTCTTAGAGGCAAGCCCTGTACATATATTTATTTTGTAATTTGCTACCACATAGATTAAATCTATTATTCTTAATATTAGGGATATTCGTGGATTAGATTGATTGGTCGATTTTAAAGAGGAAATAAACCAATTCAATCCAGCTGATTCTTTTGTATAATATCATTTCATTGATTTACCTTAAAATATAATTTAATCGAATCTAATATTATTTAAAACGGTCTGCATCGAATCGATTTTATAGTTTTTTTTAGAAAATTTTAATACTTAAATTCATAAGAATATATAAATTTAATTTAAAAAAGTGTAAGTTTAAATTAATTCATCAAAATATATGAAAACACAAATATAAATTCTAAACATTTTAAATTAATTGTCAATCCTATAATATACGTGCAAATTTAAGAGAACGAATTGTTTGACTTGATGTATAATAAAAAGTTTCTAAATAAGTATATAAACAATATTACAAATTTTTGATAGAATAGTATTTTAATATATGTGTGCGTGCGTGTGAGTAGTGGTTTATTGTCAAAATCACGTCATTTTGTGTGGTGGAAATTTTATATGTAATATTTTCTTAGTTATAAATTTAACTAATATCTTAATAGTGGATTATATAATGAGCAGAACGCATGCACGCCTTAATCTTGCCGTTTAAACTTTAAACGCGTGCGCTTCTCAATAAGAACTAAGAAGTAAGAAGTTTGTACCAAAAAAACAAAACAAAAAGAAGCAAGAAGTCGGGGGAACATTTAGAAAAAAAATAAAATAAAAATTAAACGGAAAAGAAATTGGTGACTTCTTTGTAAGTAAGAGCTAAAAAAGTCCGTTGACCTCATGTAGCATACGTAGTTGAAACTTGATTTTTTAGGGTTTGTTTGTTTGTAATTTAAAAATATATATTTTTAATGAACATGTGGTTAGATAGTTTCATGATAATAAGCTTTTTTTTTCTTTGAGAAAAGAAAAAATCTCAAAATTTATTATATTATTTTTCTCACAAATTAAAAATAATATTTAAAAAACTATATCATAAAAAAATTATTTTTCAAAGTTTAGACAAACATGATCCTTAATCGTATTTGATCGGGATAAAATACAATAGGTCCATCAAGGGCTAAAACCCAAAGATTAAGGCCCAAAAACATAGGGCCCAAACAATATGTGATATCTCCATCGCGCATAAAGAATCAGGGGGCGCGATAGCTTCATCGTGCCTAAACCGCCTTTAACATGACTTCAGAGTTAAGGAACTGATCAATAATACGAATAAGGAGTTACCGCGCCACAGAACCAGTACATGAAGGACTACTTCAGCTTGCCACTACTCTACCAAGATAGCTTGACATAAAGAGATAAGGCCAGAAAGGCACCAGCTGAACCTGCAGCCCCTAAACGGCCAATTAGAAGACATACCGCCTACCAAAGGCGGCATCCGATTTACTATATAAACAAAGGGTACATACCCATGTATGATCATCTAATTCAGTAAGAATATAACATAAGCCTAGCTTTGATACTGACTTGAGCGTTAGAGTGTCATTGCAGGTACCCATCCCAATTGAAGTCATTGCGCCAAAGAAGAATCATATCAATCTCTCCATCAACTGCCATCAACAACCCAAGAAGTTGCTAGCCCAACCCAAAGTCTTCTCTCATCAACCGTGTATGATTAGGCCCGATACATATTGACCTGCCCATATAGTATTGATCTGATCAGACATATCAGTATTAAAAGCAACACATCGCTTTCTAGAAAAAGAAATGATCAATACCAACTTCTCTTTTATTTAAAAATCAACTAAACCAGCTAAGCAAATAGATAAATGTGTTCCTATCTGTATCAATATATAAATGTAAGTATTTTTTTTATAACTATATGAATTTCGAATACTTTCACCATTTCACAAAATTTGAGCCAAATGGAAATGCATGGGAGTGTTGGTATCTCTTCTTTGATTAGACAAATAAAGTGAAAAGTAAAATGCAACACAGTCATGTGCATCATTTAAATATTTAATGCTTTTTCTGGATCTATTTATTTTTCACAACCGTGGCGTGGGTCCATAAATTATTACTTAAAGAATAATTTATCTAATATTGTCTTTCCTCTTTTCCTTTTCTCATACCTGGATATACAAATACTTTTTAGTGAAAGATAATTTTAAGATGGGTAAATTTTTTTGATAAGATGTCGTAGACTTGCCATTGTAACTATTCTTAGTGTATAAAAAACGAAATATGATAATTTTAAATAATCTATTGAGAGAGCTATTCATCATTAAATAAAAAATCTTATTATCATGATGAATTAAAAATTATAATCTTTTTCCCACACTTGTGGAGCTCGAGGGTGCAATTGCAGTCATGGTAGTTAAAATCTGGATTTAAATCTTAAAATTCTGATTTTAACGATTTATTTTTGCTAAAACGATTTAGATTTCACTTAAAATCGTTGCCAATATAAAATTCCGATTTAGACATTTACTTAAGTCCCGATTTTAAGATTTAAATCCCGATTTTAACTATTGGAATGATGTTAAGCAAGTTAGAAAAATTGTTGAATATAACATTGCTGATGTTTCATCCGAAGATGAATGGATTGTGGAAAATGAAGGAACTTTATCTCATGATGAAAGTTTAGATGAAGACAATTTTGAATGATGTAGTTGAAGATCACGCGGAACATAATGTCTTCGATGATAATAACTTGAATGATTTATTAGCTTAGACCCTTAGAGTATGACAATTATATGCAAATGTATAAGGATGATGGCAGGTAGTCTATTTTTCTTAATTTTTTTTATAGAAACACATATGTATATATAAAAATTTAATTTTAGAGTGCAGGTAAAATCTACGATTTGTATTACGATTTTACAATTTACGATTTTTTATTCCCTTTTTGATTTTAGGTAAAATCTCGATTTTGACTACCTTTGATTGCAGTAGAGTCACATTGTGTTTTACGAGAAGGTGAATTTAAGGTTTCTGGGAAGGAGTATTTTTAAGAGAAATACTATTATTTCATTTAAAACAACATATATTCATTTTATTTAAAATGAAAAATATTTTTTTTCCTTTTATATCACAAAAATTGTAATAGGTATATACTATTTAAATTATCGAATTGTCGTTTAATCACCAACTGATCAAAAAGGACGTGATTAAGTCTAAACCTTCCATTGTTATTCTATTATATATAAACTGATGATTATTCTTATAAAATCAATTTTCTGATTTCCCATTCAATTTTTATGATTTAAGTAGAAAAAAGAGAGACGATGTAGCATATATAATAAAAGCCTCACTTATTCTTATTTTTATTATACTATTTTTATTCTTCAAAGTTATTCATGTTTCCGACTTCATATAGCACAGAAGGCTAATGAGGTACACTTTGTAAACTACATAGCCAGCAAATTCACCATTACTTAATCTTCCCTATTGGTTTCTTGGCTTAAGTTTTACTAGCAAGGGATGTAGCTTGTTGGTGGTAAGGCCAAGTGTATCCTCATTGTCTTCCTCCCCTTGTTCGAGTTCCCATTCAAATTCCTGAACCAATCTTCCAATTGCTGTGCAAGCTATCGAAGTAGCCTGAAGAGAACCTGCACACACCCTCTTTCCTGCTCCAAAGGCCATGGTCTTGTACAAATCCATAGGGTCATGTTTCTCATCAAGAAATCTCTCAGGCATCCACTGATAAGGATTTTCCCACCGGTTATTGTCCATGTTACATCCATATATATTTATTGCAATCTGTTAACATGAGCTTGTAAAATAATGACATGTTAGAATTGAATATCCATACAGATGCAAGAGACAACCATACTTGTGTATCTACAAAAAAAACTTTTCTTTTCTATTCTTGCTTTCTTGCTCTTTTTCTTTTTCTCTTGATCTACATTTCATACAAACTATCAAAGGCTACTTATAAGCTATAAAACTGACAAACATAACTCCACACATAACACCCTCATTACTTTATAACTGACTCATTAATACTCTAACTGACGTAACTGACACATTAATATTCTAACTGACACAAGAAACTAAAAAACCAAAACTGCTAAAAAACGAACATTTAAAATTTATCCCAACATGGCAATCATATACACTACACACAGAAAAGAATAAGATGGTAAATTCAGAAGATAAAACAAAATAGACCTCGCTTCCAGCAGGAATATGATATCCTCCCAATTCGGTATCTTCATGAACATATCTTAGTGGGACAATCGGAACTGGACTATGTTTCCTTAATGTTTCATGGAATATAGCCCCCAAGTAAGGTGGATCATTTATTTGGTCTTCTGTAAATTTTTCATGTCCACATACATCTTGGAGCTCCTTATACAGACGTTCCTGCCATATAAAGATGAAACAGGTGAAAGAGTGTCAATAATTGGAGAAACAACCAAAATGAACAAATCAGTACATGGTTAGCCAGACACAAAGTAAAACAAACAACCTGACGATTTTTGTCTTTAGCGAGTTCATACATAGCCCATTCTGTTGTAACTAATGTAGTATCAGATGTCTCAATAATGGTCTCCCAAACCAACATGGAAATTTGTTCTTCAGTTAGTTCTTTAGCCTCGGATAACATGTAGTCAAGAAAACAATTTATCTCCTGTTACATCCCAAACAATTAATCAAGTTAAGATAACTGTAAGGAACTTTAGTATACACCACCTCAAAAGCTAGCTCAAGTTCCATGAAAGAAAACTCTCACAGGCTCTGCACAGATTTGAAGTTCCATGAAAGAGAACCTTACCTTTCCTGAAGCCATTCGCTTCCTCTGCTCATTCATCAAGGCCTTCATGAGAGCTTTTCTCCGGATAACCAATTTCTGAATTTTCATCACCATGCTCTTATTTGGAATCCATTTCAAGTATGGAAAGAAATCTCGCCAATCCACCTCAATTGCACCCTCCATTAAATCAGCCACTAGAATCTTATGCATGTCTTCCCTTGATAATGTACCCCCGAGCTCCTCCACATAAATGGATTCTACATTATTTCCCAGAGCCTGCAAATTCACCATGCATGCTCAGTCTTGTAAATTATGCGTTCTTCTATTCTCAGAAAATGTTTAATCAAACTTATATTAGAAGGAGAGACTCACTTGCTTCAATGCTAGTACAAAAAGTTCAGAAACAAATATTTTCCTAAAATTAACAGCCAAGTCTGAGGAGGTCTTCGCATGTTCATTAAACTGCCTCAAAATATTTTCCATCATGGCTTCTCTGTGGCAACGATTTCGCTTCTGAATATTGAAAAATAGACTTCAGATACACTGAGCAACAAAACCACTGAAGAAAGAAAAGGGTTCTTCTTACTCAAATACTGATAACGTAACCATTAAATTATTACAACCAACCTGTGCATTAGCTCCCAAAACGTTTGTAAGAATATGTTTTTTGACCATTTTGTGAAATTCATTGTAGTCACTTGTTGCAACCATACATTTATCAGAAGTCAGCATCGTCAGTGCATTTGATAGCTTCCTTGTTGAAATTGATGGAAACCTGGTCACCATTGCCTGAAACAACCATAAAAATTTATAATCCAATTAACCATAAATAAAAACAATTACATGGACACTGGTTATGAACAATCAACGACATTTCTACTCTTTCAGCTCATATTGATTAGTCTTAAAAATAGAAAAACAACAGAACAATACAAAGCAGTATGTCAATGTTCTCAACTAATCTGCTAGATAAGACTCAAAAGGCTAATCAAATTTGCTTTTGAATAAAGGTTTGACAATATTGATCACATGCTTTTTCTCAACAATTTCTCTTTGCTTGCAAGAACAGATGCGACAGTGTCGCACAACTGTGCCTGTATACCTTTTATATTACCTCTCTACCCCTCTTAAAAAAATGATGAAAGGATTAAAGGTGTCAAACCATATGAATTGAGGGTGTTAGCTGCACTGTCAACATGCAGTAATCTCGGATACTCTCGTATTAAAAAAAAACATGATCATGTTATACGAGGCAAATCATAACCATATAAAAGTAAATCAATGATAATAAAAATTAGAAAAAATATATTAAAATAGATAGTTACAAAATCGTACCCGTTGATTCACCTTGGTGATCTTTTCACATGACAGTGTCATTTATTTTATTTTTTACTTGAGAGGATCCATTTCCAGGGTTATGGATCTGGATCCTCTCATATTAAAAAGAACATAATATGATCATGTGAGGAATTATAACTATACAAAAGTGAATTAATGACATTTCACATAACTTTTTATCTTCACCATCCATTTTCCTTTTTCTCTTGCTACCAGTCAACGGTTCTCCTTGGAGTTTGAGTGTGCAAGTGAAGTTTATGTATTAATTAATACATATTTGAAAAACAATAGCCAATAAGTAATAACACATTTGAGTCTGCCTTTATTCTCTTTTCCAGGTAAAAGTAAGGAAGTGGTCCAACACAAAATCAAGCAGGACCACAAACGACCACAGGAATCTCCAACAGAAAAGCTGAAGGAATCCAAGAATTTAAGAATGGAAAGTTGCATTAACCCACAAATTCATTCTTCACTTCCATCTAGATTTAATTTAACCACGAATTAATATTGTATCTGTCAAGTCAAGAGTTGAAACTTGAAAACAGAAGTAAAGTGAGTGTGTGTGTGTGTGTTTAGGGAAGACATACCTCTTTGGCAACATGTGTGTTGTTGAGAACAATGAGGGTGGAAGCACCCGTTCTGATGGAATAAATGGGTCCATATTTATCAGCCATCCGAGTGAAAGTCTTGTGAGGTTTCTTCTCCTTCAATTGCAGCAGATTCCCTATTACTGGCAGACCTGGTACCTCTGCAACAAATCAATTCACCCAGAGTTTTAATACTTTTACCACTTATGTTCATATTCATATTCATATTCATATTCATATTCATATCAAACACAAACAAAACTAGATGACCATATGATAAAAATAAAAAAAAATAAAAAATAAAATCAGTGAGTGATACCTGGTACTGGGGGAAGTTTGGAACGTTTGTGAGTGAAAAAGGTGGGTCTGAGGCGGAGTAAGAAGAGCAACAAAAGAAGAGAAAAACCACCCAAAGCCACTGGGGTGGCAAGTTGATGGGTGAGAGTGAGACTGTCCATAGCAACACAGCACACGAATGTTACAGTCAGTACTTTACTTTGTACTTTGTTGTGAGGGGCAGGGTATCATAAGCATGATGAATGTATATAAAGAGAATGCTGTAACCAAAAAAGAAAAGAAAAGAGAATGCTCAAATTTGGAAGCTATAGTCTGAGAATCTCTCCCATTCGATCCTGTCCCACCTACCCCATAAATAAAAATATTTGGAATTTGAAGGCTATAGTCACAAAATCAAACGTATCTAAATAGAAATGAAGAACATAATATGAGGATAAAAAAAATATAGAAGAAAAAATAAAATAAAATATTTTGTAAATTTACAGAATTTTTTTTTCTGTTTTATTTTTTGTCTTATTTTTTTCTTCAGTCTATTTTATTCTTTTTGATTTACATTATTTACATTTTTTTAATTTTATTCTTTTCTATTATATTGTAAAATATTAATATATTTGGTCCTATTTTTTCTTCTATTTTTTTAAATTAATATATATATATATATATATTTTGATTTAGACATATTTAATATTTTATTTTCTTCTATGGTTTTTTTTTTTTACTTTTAATCTTTTTTTATAAGTATTGTAAATTTCAACTATATTTGATCTTATTTTTTCCTTTTTTATCATGAGTCATTTTCTTATTTTAAAAATGTAAAATAAATAGATTAATTAATTTTCTAATAATGTTAAGAATAGATTTGGATGAAAAAAATGATACGAAGGTAAATATATATATATATATATATATATATATATATATATATGGGATCTATTAATCTCATGTTGCAACAGAGACAAAATAGTGGGATTCATTACTTTTTAAAAAAATAAAAAATAAAAAAATTGAATCCCACTATTTTATCTCTGTTGCATGAGATAATTGTCTCATGCAACATGAGATAATTATTTCTATATATATATATATATATATATATATATATATATATATATATATAAATAAATAAATAAGTGCAACTGTGCAAGTGATTCAAATTAAAATAGTAGTGGGATTTTTAAACTTTTCCCCAGTACATAACATGAAAAGATCCATTCTTCCAACTTTTATTCCCACACCCATTTAATTGAACAATGATAAAGAATAACATCAATAACACATTCTTTCACATTATCTTTTGAATACTTTCTCAATTATAAAGTAAAAATTTGATGTTGATATTATTAATAAAAGATAAACTCAAATTATTTAATAAGATTTAATTCCATAAGGATATTGAGAAGAACAGGAAAAGATATATTGTTAATATTCCTGGGAAAGACAATAATCATGGATAAAGAAAATTATCTGAGATGTCCATCTCAGCCTCTTCTTCCTTTCAACACCACCTTTTTGAATCAGAGTCCCCAGCCACAAGAAATTCACCCAGGAACTGGAGAACCCAGCCACCAAGTCCAGCGAGTTTCGCACATGACAATAAAAAAATTAAGGCAGGCTAAGCGTCAGTATCAATGTCTACGAGGGTTTCAGTATATTGGTTTAAGGAAGGATATAAAGAACTTGGGATACAGCTAGCTTAAAGAGTGTGAGTGTCTAAGGCCTTAATAAAGGTCACATTAATTGCTTATACAAGTGAGACTATATACCTCAACACGTCCCTTCACGCAAGAGTCATTTGGACTAGAATCGTGAAATTGCACAGGCCCAATTTTTAGTTTACCTTTTTTTGTTTTTAATTTTAATTCCACTTGAAAGCGGGGGCCGTGAGGATCGTACTCGTGATCTTATGGTCACTCAAGTTCTGATACCATATAAAGAACATTGGGACCCAAAAGCTAGCTCTAAGGTTGAGATATATAGTCCTACTTGTATGAGCAACTAATGTGAGACTATATTTCTCAACAAAGAATCATTACAAATACAAAATTAAACTAACGATTGATAGACCACTAGAAGGAACATCGAACAAAGTGTAATTTTTTGGCAAATTTTTTATCCAAATATCACGGAAACAAGATTTTTTATCATTGTCACGTGTTAGGGTAACGAACTTTGTCACCTGTGATTTCATGACAGGTGTTCATATTGCATACCAAATTTGCTATCAGTGATAGCAATTTAGTTTAGTCTCCTATAAAAGTGTGTCACGTGTCACAAATTTATTAACGAACAAAATTTGCTGTCAATCGTAACGAATTATGTCACGTGACAGTCTAATAAAAAATATTATCCAAATGATATTTGAATAAAAAATTTATAAGCCTTTGCCAAGAAATTATCATTAAATTAACATTCCTTGGAAAAAGACGAAAATCATGTTTAAAGAAATTATCTGAGACGTCCGGCAGCCGAGATATTTTAGGTACACCACTTACTTAATGCAGCGGGCCAATTAAAATAAAGTATTTTTTTGTGAAATGTATACGAAAAAGGAAAATAATAATTTTTTAATTCAAATATCAATTTTTAAATGAAAGTCGTAGTTACACTCAGTGCACCACCGAAGATGCTCTCCTCAGCAGCCTCTTCTTCCTTTCAACTCCACCCTTTTGTATCAGAGTCAGAGTTTCGCACAAGAAGTTATCATTAAATTAAATTAATATCAGACTTTAGCACAAGACAATACAAAAATTAAGGCAGGCTAAGCGTCAGCATCAATGTCTATGACGTTTTCAGTATATCGGTTTAAGGGATTATCAGAGGAAGGATAATTACAAATCCAAAATTAAAGGTAAGGGACCATTAAACTAATGATCCATGCATGGGGTCATTTAGAATAGTTAATTGGTCCTTCTCGTTAATTTTATATTTAGTTAACAGCCTTTCTGCTAATTCGACTTGGTTTAGTGTAGAATGTCTACATAGATGCATTTATCAAATCTCACTTTTCCATGAGGATAAATAGCACATCAAACGATGTATCCTATGTTTACTTTCAAGATCAATACAAGGAAGCGCATATTTTCCATAAGCAACTGTTACTAATAGATAATGACCAATGGAGGGTTAATCCTAATCAGTGCAGTAGACTGACTGGACATGGTAATTTGAGTATAGGGTTGGCAAAATAGACCAATCCAGCTTGACCCGACCCAACTTACATGTAACTTGAAAAAAAGAGCAAAGTTAGGGTTGATTCGGAAAAAAAAAAATGAACTAGAAAACTCGACCCAACCCGATCCGAGTCCGATTAGGGTTGGTTCAAAAATATGGCTCGTGGATTGACTTGAAAAATAGCTCTCGAGTTGGCTCAAAAATTGACTCGCGGGTTGGCTCGTTTTCAGCTTATTTAAATGAACTTATAGTATTAATGCACTAGTTATGTGGTTTCCATTAAAAAAACCTCAACCCACGAGCTAGTCCGTTTGACCTGCGGGTTAGCTGGTTTTTTCCGAGCTGACTCGAGTCAAGTCAGGTCGGGTTGGTAACTTATTTTTGTCAACCCAACCGACTCATTTTTTGACGGATTACCAGCCAACTCTATTTGAGTATATTATCTACTATAACTTCATCAACTGATGCTAAATACGTATTTTCTTTTCCTTAATTTATTTCCTTACTATTACAATATCTAAGAAACTTAATGAGTCAATTTTTCAAAAATAGAAAAAGAAAGAGTGTCAATTTACAATTCAATCAGACCTCTACCAGTACAAGTTTAAAACACAATAACACACACACACACCCCTCATAAAGGGCACTGCTATGTCTAGTACTTTTTTTAAATGGAAAATATAGTTTGCTGTATGTAAAAAGTGGAATGTTGCTTATTTCTTCCTTGAAGAATTTTATCCTCCCTAGGACATGTATTTTAATGAAATGATACTATTCAAGTGAAACTGCAAGGCTCACCAGCAAATCCCACCTTAGATTGTTTGGTATCATATATTACCCTTTGATTCCTCTGCTGATAATTCCCAACAATGCCGATTTCATATTCATCAGAAAGACTTGCAAGTGCCAAACAAACTAGCGAAGCATCCTTTTTTACCAAATAGAATATGCCAGTTACATCCACATTCAACTCAGCATTGTCCTCAAAATACATCCTTATGGTTGGTATGTTCACTTCCTGATAACCAGTGAGATTAAAGCATGTATCCAATATTGAAAACCCTGGTGCTGAAGGGAAACCAGAAAACTGTTTCGTGAACTCTTCCTTCACAGCCTTGTAGACAGATGGAGCTAGTCTCGTAATCACTGTCCCTGAATCAAGTAGTATCCCACCATTCCCAAAACCTGAAGCTTGCATAGCCACACCTCCAACATTTATCCCAGTGAGATTGAGTATATAAAAGTTGGATAACTGTGGATTAGGAAGCATCCTAGTGTAAGCAATGGGAGTAACATTTTTGAAAACTGCAGACTCATTACCTATAACTAATGATCCAGAAGCTTCAGCATCTGTTGAAGGTAAACAGTAAGAAAAAACTCCTCCAAATGTAGCTTTAGTTTGAGATATCACTGAGAGGTCACTTCTTCCCAAGCCTATTAGACCTGAGGTTCCTCCAAATAGACCTTTGTTGTTCCTACCACAACCAAACACAAAATTACTCACTGAAATACCTCCAAAACTGAGGTGCTCAACTCCCAATTCACCAGTAGTATAGGACCCATCACCATAGTTAACCACATAGTCACAAGTTGATGAATTGCTTCCACATGCTCCTGAATTTCCTGTAGCAAATGGGAGAGATTGACAAGTTGTTGAATTGCACAGAATTGATTGATAGGAAGGGGAGGTAGAAGGCTTGAATAAAGGTCCTTGTTGATTATAACATGACTCGCAAGGCTCACATTGGACCCATGTTAAGTCGCTTCCGGTGTCAACTATCATGGTCATGTTCTGGCCACCCAATCCCATAGTCACAATGTAGTTTAATGTTTGTAATTTTATACCAGAAGTTAATGGAACTTGAGCTTCCGAGGCATCTGCAATTTGGCTAGAGACCATTTTTCGAAATTGGTTTTGAATTGAACGAACAAGTAGACCATCCATCACCAACTGTTTCTTATGCCTTCTATTCCAATCAGTGTTTTTCTCTAAGCAGTGACCTCTGTCCTTCATTTCTAGTATAATAGCTCCTTTCTCTCTTCCTGAGAATTCAGAATATAAGGGATTTTATTTTAAATTGTAATTTAAAGAAAATATTTTTGTAAAGAACCAATTCAACCCAAAAGCTTAAGTTATTGGGTGAGGTTACATTAATGATTTTATATATCTCAACACGCCTCCTCACACGAGAGCCTACTAGACTTGAAGGGTGAACAATGTAGAAGCTCACCTACCTGTGCGAAGAAAGAAATTCCACTAGAAAGAAAGTGGGAGGCGATGAGGATAGAACCCGATGCACCGAAATTCTGACACCATGTAAAGAACCAATTCAACCCAAAAGCTTAAGTTATTGGGTGAGGTTACATTAATGATTTTATATATCTCAACTATTTTACCAATAGACACTATAATTCAATCTAGAGAAATGCAACGGCCTAGACAATGACATATGCTCTAAATAATTAAAGCCTCTTAATCTCAACTTTAAGAATCAGACAGACAATCTTAGAGAGAGACCAATGATGAATGTTTTCTTTTAAGGAAAAGAGAAAGCATTGTTAGATCCTAACAGTACAAACAAAAGAAGTTTTGATAAATATAAAGAGATCTCCAAGTAGAAAGTGAAATAAAGCTCAGAAAATGTCCTGCAAAAATAACTAACAAGTTTTCATTTTCCTGCTAAACTCACTTGATTCCGGGAGCAGGCAGCCCGGGATAGTACCATGTTGCTGTTTTCTCTGCAACTTTTTGACGTTGAAGGTCTTCTCTTCAAAAGAGTGAACGCCATTTGCAAAGATGAGGTAAAGAGAAGCAAGGGAGAGAAAGGATGCCAACATAGCCATTGCCTTCACCATTGGTGGGGGATGGTAAGGAACCGTGCAAGAAGAAAATTTTGTAAAGAGAGGTAGAAAGAAATTAAGGAATGTAAAGGAGAAGAAAGATTGAAAGGCAGATATAGGGATAAAGGCCTAAGATGGAGATTCTGAGTGATGGATTTTGGCATGAGAACAAAGAGGAAGGGGCTGGCTAAGAGACCCCACTTGTGCATGAGAAATTATTGGGGTTTCACGTGCACATATTGAGAAAATAAAACAAGTGCTATGTTTTTTGTTGTTGGTGGTGTAGTGGGTCGAGGGGAATAAGTCTTTAGGTATGGCGTATGAGCACTCAAATTAACACTCACGTGTAATGTAATTTTCATAAATGTGTACATTTTAAACATGACTCATGCAACTTTTTACCTCTCACTTGTTCGAAGAAAGAAAGCGGAAGGGAGTGAGAATCGAACCCGGTACATCGAGACTCTGATATCATGTAAATAATCAATTCAACTCAAAAATTTAAGCTGTTGGGTGAAGTTACATTAATAATTTTATATATCTCAATTTACGGACTTTGGATTTTTTTTTTTCAATTATCTTATTGGTCTATTTAGCCCTCTTAAGATAAGATTCAGTACTCTTCATGGGATCAACTGTACAGTGTACTCACAACTTTCACACTAGACATGAGAGTCCACGGACCATAGAGAATGTCTCACCAATTGCTATTTAGTGCGTTTTGTAAACTCTCTTTAACTTTTTGGAAAATTTTATATTTTTATACAGCAAGGTGGGGCCCTAGTACATAATGTACTAGAGGTATAACATTGTATGCTAAAATATACTGCCGTTTGTAAAAAAAATAAATTATAAATATAATTTTTCCCGTATAATAATAAAATATCTGAAAAAAGTTTTTCAATATGAAATTGCTACCAATGAATGGGTAAGACACATGAATTCCTCAAGTCGAAAGTGACGAACATCGAAGTAAAAATTGCTTTCAAATAAAGGGTGTTAAATTTTGAGATACTTGTGCTTAATTGGAATGAGACGAATTCTTATTTGAGTGGTGATTATTTGAATAATTAAAAAGCCTACTAATCTTTTACGATGAATGAATGTAATGACACATTCTCACTACCTACCCCTTCACTTTTTATTGTATTTTCTCAAAAACATATGATAAAGGCCACTTACGAAGACCCTTCTCTCTTTCTTTTATAAAGTAAATATCATTTTGGTTATCAATAAAAAACACAAAACCTATTTTAATCCCTTAGAAGACATTTGGTAGAGGAGAAAAAAAAATTATTAGGAAATCACAATTACTGAAAATATGATGAGAAAGTAAATTTTCTGAAAAAGTTAAAAAAAAAATTATTTGGTAAGCTAAAATATTACTGAAAAAATTGGTTTAAGTTTCTTGAGTCTATATTTGGTTGAAAGTAAAATATCACTAGGAAAATAGGTTGAAAATACCAAAATAATCATTGCCTATCAAATTTTGGCACGTTATTTCAGGGATATTGTGTCCAAATTTTCGCTTCCCAATTTCTTGCTTCCCAACTAAATCAAAATATCATTTCTCTGGATGGTATTCTCAAGTGGTAATCTAAATAAAATTTTACACATAATATTACATTCCCATGCAAATCAGAACCTTAGTCAAATTTTTTGAAAACTCCTACCAAACATGATCTCCTTTGAATCTTATGAACTTTTCCGGGCAACAAAATAAAATTTTCCTACCAAACACATTCTTAGGGAAAAAAATCAACATTGGTCCTTTTTTAAGGATTAATGTGAGTATTTTTTGAATTTCTGATATACCATAATTTCAAAGAACTATAATTTTAGAAGAACCACAAATCGACTTTTGTTTTTAAGGGATTAAAATGGGTTATTGAGGAGTTTTATTAAAGATTTAAAGTCATCTACTTGACTACTTTGATTTAAAAGACAATATTTTGGACATCCACCACTTTCGACTTGGGGAATTCCCAGATGTGGCCCAGAGGAAGCACACAAGTCAATATCTTGTTATAGTGGCAATTGCATAATTAGTACAATAATTTGTGCGTGAAACTGCACCCACGGTTTATATGTATTTAAATGGCCTCAAAATTTCTTTTAATTAAATGTCTCGACTATAAGTTTCTAATGGCATTATATTATGGGAAATCCGATTGTCATGTAACATAACAATCAAAACATATCCTGCTCATATATCTAAAATCCCCCTTTTCTTTTATTTTTTTTTCTTTCTTTTTTTTAATTAGCCCCACCATAATTTTGTTTCTGCAGGAAAACTATTCATCGCTCACAGCATGAAAGCAAATCCCTTATATTATTATGATAATGTGTAAATTTGGTGTTTTCTGCGTAGTTTGAGATCATGCCATTGTCAAGCAAGTTGGCCATTGTTAAGCGAATAGTTGTAGACAAAGTCAAATATACAAAGGGAGATATCAAGGGAAATCCATGAATGTGACTAAGAAATCCATGTATGTGACATTTTTTATATAATTTTTTTATGGGAAATAGAAGTATAATGTTGTATGAAAGTGTTTAGGTTATGTTATAGAGATAGAGATTATGGTACCCACACTTTTTTATTTTTTTGGTTTTTGAAAACAAGTGTGGGTCCCACAATTTCTATCTCTATAACATAACTTAAACACTCTCCTACAACATTATACTTTTTTTCCCCATTTTTTATATAATGCCTAGTTAATTTATGAGTTTTATTTTTCTCATATTTTGTCTCATGCAACACTTAAAAAAGTGGATGGGACCTACTAAAAAAGAGAGAAAACAAAAATATGAGTCTCACCCACTTTTTTATGTGTTGCATGAGACAAATTGTCTCATACAACATGAAAAAATAAAACCCTTAATTTATATTTAAGAATCTAATGGTTTACATTACTTTTAAACCCAAATATATGTATTCAATAGCCTAAGTTCTTATGCATATATTTAGGCAGAGATAACGGGAAAAAGCAGGTAGAGGTATGCAAAGTTGCAAACTTAGAGTCCGTTTGGATGAGTTTTTTTTTTTTTCAAAAACTACTTTTTTTAAGAAAAAAAAGCACTTCTCAAAAAAAGTCTGTTTGTATGCCTGCTTTTAAAAAAAAGCAGAAGTCATAAATAAAGTCAAAAACTTACTTTTTTTGAAAGCTAAAAATTTTAGCTTCTCAAAAAAACAGAAGTCAAAAGTCAAATATTTTTTTCAAAAATCAAATGTTTTTCTAAAAATCTAAATAGCTGTAGTTTTTATAAAAAGTACTTTTAAAATAAGAAAGTGACAAAAAAGATTTTTTTAAAAAGTGAATACAAACGGGCCTTAGTGGAGGAAGAGCTGGAATTAGCATGCCCATCCATTCTGGTGCCAGTTTCTTAGAGAGCTGGAAATGACAAAATAAACAGCGGAATAATAGAATACCATATCAAATAAAACGGAGAAGAGAAGGAAGGAAAAAGGCAAAGCAATAATTGTTATAAGGAAAATTGTTTATCCGTTTAAATGACACAACTTATATCTTTTCACTCTCACAAAAAAAGTGGAACCCACGCCTTTATGTTTTTTGTCAACTCTCTTTCTTCCTTCATCTATTTATTTCTCTCTCTTAAAATGACACAACTTTACGTCCTTTAAAAATGACACACACTTTACACATTGTTATAAGATAAAATATTAAACTATTGGAGCTTGTTGGGAATAAAAACAACGGAACTTCCAATGTTAGCCCCAAAGCCCAATATTATATGGCTGTGGTTGTATCACTGGGTCTTGCATGATAGAATAGCCAAAATTCTCAGCATACAAATGTTGGTTGCTGCAGGTTACTCATTGCTTTGAAAATATTTTCTCTAATAAAGACTGATGTCCCTGTTCAGTAAACACCACATATTCGCACATTATGATTGCTCTGGTAGGGTCTTGGACTTTTATATTATTTTTTAGTCATAAAATTATTTTTCGAAGCATTTAACAGCGTGGAGTTGTAGGGGAAATTTCTTCAAAGTGCCATACGCAATCACACTGAACATTATGCAAAAGTGGTGAAGATTGATGATATATGTGAGAAACTGAAAGTGATGAGTACGTATTCAATTACTTCAAGATTTATCTTCTATACTGCTCTCCTGGTTATGAAGATAGAAAAAGCATAATGAAGAATGATCTCTGCCTAAGCTTCTGCATGGTGATAAATTTCGGTCTTGATAAATCTCTTCGCTTCTGCTTGATAAAATTACCTTATAATTAATGTAGATTGCAGAGTTTGGTAGGAAAGATTATGACTAACCATGTAAATTAAAAAAACGGAGTAATAATATCAATATCACCTTTACTTCAAGTTAATTAGGACCGGATTGATAAATCCAAACAAAAAATAAGAAAACATCAAGGGAAATAAATAAATAAATAAATAAATAAACATATATATATATATATATATATATATATATATTGAAAAAATTAAAAATGAATTTGAAAAATAAGTAGTGTCCGCCGTTTTATGTATTGGATTCTCTGTTCTGCACATCATATTTACCAAAACTAGGACTCCATCACATGCGCCAACTTTGAACCCCAGACTCGGTTGTTCTCACTCTTCACGTTCAGTTCTGTTTTACCACTATCTTTTCGAATGGATTTGCTACGATACTCGTAATGATATTATAGCCAAACTAAGTTGTTTAATATTTATTAATGGTTGCTTTTATCATAAAATTTTATTAAATATAACTAACAAATAAAGACTAGTGCCTAATTTTGAGTGCCCCAGTCACTTTAAAGAATAGACAGGCAATGAAATAATACTGAATGCATATGAATGAAATTTCCTTTTTGCCCTTAAATTGACCCACTAATTTATTAAACATCATCCGTTCCTCAAAAGTACATGGCGCCATAGATATTATGAAAAGAAAAGTATTTATTATACATCACTAAATCCCTCACATCTCTCACATTTAAATAAATGAAAGAATTATGAAACTGGTGTATACAAAACACGATGAGACTATTTCAAATAATAATCTATTAGATGTGAGTTGATGTGTGCAGAAGTGTGTATATGTGACATTTATTCTATTATAATAACCTCAATAGCTACATACTCAGACATGACAGATCAAATATGATGTATAATATAATAAAAACCTTCACTACGATATACTCAAATCATAACCTACTACTCCAAAATGCTGTTTTTCTTTTTCTTTTTCTTTTTTTACTATCGAAGAACTTTTGAGATCAAAATGGAAGTACTCAAAAAGTAAGGCTAAATTCACGACTCGGGAAGAGCACAAGGAATGCATGGAGGATCTTTAGATTGGTCATCAGGGGTTATTCGCTCCAAGCAATACTCGTGAAAGGTGTGGCCACATGATAGGACAGCAGCAGCAGGCGGAACAGGTGGCTGGAAAATTGGCCCTTCTGATGTGTAGGAGAGATCCCTCTTGCACAACAAGCATTTATATCCAATCGGTTCAGGTGTTTTGTCTGATGAACCAGCATAAAGTTTGCACACATTAGATAGACATAATTTGTAATACTCCACAAAATCAATATCTACAAAGGCACCAGCCTGTTACTTTTTCACCGTAAATTAAAGTTCATATACAAATGTTTAGATCTAAAAATTTATCTGTTTTTTTTTTTCTTTTCCTCGAGCTAGAAGTAATTGGTAGAATTAATTCATATATATTGATGGACCGGAATTTAAAGGAAAGGCCGAGATCTGGCCAGGGGGACAAAAGGAAGTTGTAAAGTATGTGGGCAAAATAAAAGAAGCTCCAAAACAATACCTTCATATTTGACGTAATTGGGAGCAATACTGGGAGCAGATGGCATAATAGAAGCCCTCAAACGTTGGTGAGCCAGAGACTGGGCTATCAGTTGCCGGTTTGGAAGACGTAAAACATCGGATGAGGGGTGGAAAGATGAGATTCTCCTGTCATTGGGTGGGAGAAATGGAGCTGTGTGCATTAAAGAAGGAATTGTCTGGGCTGTGTTTTGGGCTGATAGAGCTGATTTAGTCCAAGTCGTAGAGAGCAATGGAGGAACAAAAGAGTGAGTAGCTTGGGGTGTGAGAGATTGGGCTGTGTGGACCAAGGGAGGAATTGCTTGAGGTGTATTTGGGACCGACGGAGGCAATCTGGTCCAGGTTGGAATTGATGGATGAATTAAAGGCTGAGTTGGTAGAGTCTTCCTGCGTTGATCCTGTACAGTGGATGGCGGTGGTTGGGAAGCAGCCCTCTTTAGAGATGGCATAATAGATGACCTTGTAACTTGAGCAGTTATATTTCCCTTCCCAGTTTGCATTCCTAGATATGAAAAAGTTAGTTTATTGCTGTCATTGTATAAAAATAAAGAGATTTCCACGAGTGATTGATATCATAATATGTTTAAGGTAATCACCAGAAGAGCGTGGTCCAAGATGAGAGTTTGATCGCTGAATAGAACCAACTACCTGAGGTTGACCATGATTACCTACAGGAGGCCATGAATCTTGATTAAATAAATAACAGATCACTCACACCTGCAATTTTTTTCTTTTAAGAACTACAAATATGAAATATCTGTCTATATGCATAAATGAAATACTGTCATTGACACATTACACCGTAGAGAAAACAATCACGGAATCACCACATTGCCAGGCCTCTTGGTGATACTTAGTCGTGCCTCAATTGTCAAGTTTCACAAGAAATAAATAAAGTTTTCATCCATACCCCCTAAACTTGAGGGCAGGAAGCCCCATAAGTTAAACTAGGTAGAGAAGTTTGTAAAAACCCATAAGCTATATTCCTTAGACACATAGGTGATACTGTTAAATGAACATCTTTGAGCTCAAACATACTAATCCACTAGTGTATCACATGTGATGCAACACTCTTTTCCCATCCCCTCCCCCTTCAAAGGATGGTCACATTTGATCCTCAATAACAAACTCATTTGAATCATTCAAGCACAAGAAAGCAATGACTTGGCAAAAAAACAGTAAGAGGTTCCACATGAGTGGATGAGATCCCTTCAGCAACTTCAGAATGCAGTTTGTTTTACAGCAAACTCAAAATGATGTTTGTTTCACTCTCTTTTTTACGTAAAATAAAGAATAAAAAGATAATTCAGAAATCAGAAGATATGGGCAAACAATTTTATATATTTCAAAAAAAAATGTCTATAAAAAGATAATTCAAAAATCAGCAGATATGGGCAAACAATTTTATATATTTCAAAAAAATGTCTGAGTGAATTATTTGTTTGCTAAAGATCAGAGGCAGATAATTTATTTCTGCTGAATATTATACAAAGATAATAAATGGAAGAATGTGGTCTACCTGTACTTGAAAAGATAAAGCTCAAAACTACAATAAAAACACAAGTAGCTTCAAAAAGGAATCTTTTAAGACCAATGAAAAATAGTCAGTTAATTTGGAAATAGATATGATGCAACACCGACCCCAACTAGTTTGGGGTAAAGGTGACGACAGTGACATTAATGTTGATATGATGCAACTCACAAGAACAAAGGGGTGTTCAAAGCGAAAGGATAAATTCCACTAAGTATCAAGAAAACTACTAAAGATGATCAAATGCATATCTGCTTATTAAGAATGGGATGAAATTTAAGGAGATGAGACATATATCAATGTTTATGAACAGAGGAATTTAGTAGTACAACACATACTTGAAGGATCCTGTACTCTGGCACTTCTAGTGGCCGTGACTAAAGGAGGACTGACGAAAAACTGTGATGAGAAACTCCCATTATTTTCAGGTAATAGCTCAGAAGGTGACTGATCAGTTACCATTCCAATTGAAGAGGGAACTAGCTGTCCTTTCACCCTGCTTTGTTCACTGTCACAAGGCATAGTTTGACTGCCAACAAATGGCATCGAAGGTAGAACCATGCATCTTTCAAAGCCATTTGTGTGACCCACATCTGCAAATTCCCTTCCCGTGTCTTTCACCCGTCCAAGACCTAAATCCCAGTTGACGTGACTTAAATAAGTGTTTTGATCACCAGCAGCTGGCCTTTGGAAAACATATGATGGTGCCATACGTAAGCCAGGTCTAGAATCTAACAAAACTTCATGATCGCCAGTATGTACTATATCAGATACACTTCCACTGTTGTTCTGAAAACCAGAAAAGGTATCATTCATGTCTAAACCAGAATTCAAGAAACTTCTGCTACCCAGTTGATTGTGATAAGTATTGACTGGAGGAAGAAATGCCCCCTCAGAATTACCAGTCACATTGATTTTTGGCATTACACTATTGGATTTGTACTCTCTGTTACTTCCAGAACCAACAGACATAAATCTTTCATCATGTTTTCTGGGGGCAAGTGATGGTTCTCCACCACCTTGACTTGGATTAAACGGTGACATTCCCAAATTCATATTTAGCAGAGGCAAAGCAATATTACCACTCATTGTCATTCCACTAGGGTTGAGCATTCGTGGTCTGCTGGCCGAACTATCACTTGGAGTCACACATTTTCCACCACTGTCAGGCTTATCAAAACTATTTAGATTGAAGGCAGCATTCATCGTATCATCAGGGACTATTGGATTATCATGCTTTTTATATTGATGTGGCCACCCTATGTATCCTTCTGGACATGGAAAACCTGAATCTGGTCTGCATGGAAGGGGTTTATCTTCTTCTTCTCCGTATGGGTAATTATGGTCCATCTGGAAATTCTGACAACTTTGGAACTGGGAGGAGTCAATTGTCGAATTATGTCCAGCTGGTTCGTCTTTATAATATTGAGATGTTTCATTCATATTCCAGTGAGGAAAAGGAGAAACTGAAACCACAGATAGAGGGATGGCTGTATCACTACGGTGACAATCACCAGCAATCCTGTCACTGTTACCAGAATCAGTGTTCATCAAACTGAATCCAAGTTCTTCATTCCTTTGTGTCATGGCAACAGTAGAGGCATATTCTCATTCTTTCAGTTGTCAAACATGGACAATTCTGTCCTAAAAAGGAAGAAAGATGACTAGTAAAAAAGTTAACTCTGAAAAATGAAAATTCATACATGTTGAGGATAACCAAAAGTTACAGTCCACAGATTGCCAGTGACTGTGCTATGCATCTCATACACAGAAACAGCAAAGATAAATATATTACATTCCTACGAGCAAGCACAAAAATCAAGAAATTACCGAATAATTCACATAAACCCATGGAAACTCTAAATGTGTGCCTCCCAATTCGCATGCTCCCCACTCTTTAGAATATTGAAATCAAGGACAACAAGAAGCAAGCAGAGGTACTAGACGCTACACAGAAACCTCAAAAAAGCAAGCTTCACTTTGAAAATATAAAAGAAAAAGAAAAAGAAAACCGAAAAATCAGTGGAGGGTAACTAAATCTTGTAAATTTCCATAAAACAAGTCACTGTAATTCCCCCGAAGTTTATGCCCATCTCAGATATGTAAGTACAACGGAGAAAAGAAATCAATGATAGTCAGCACCATGAAAAAAACTTAATCTTACTTGCAAAACAACCATTCAGCCGTTCAGAACCAAACAAGACAGCATCCAAATCTGTAAGGTAGAAAAACCTAAAATCGTGAAGAAATCCAGTATATATAAAATTAAAAATAAAAACTAGTTAGAGAAAGCGAAGACGTTGAAGGTGGAATCGAACTCAATCACTGAATTAAAAACAAAGCTATTGACGATAAATTCTTGAGTCCAGGGACGACAAAACAAGATGAAATCAGAAAGAAGAGTATAAAATAGAAACGAGAAAGAGAGGGATGTTAGGGATAGCATACCAGTTGCGGTGATGGTGAATGAAAGAAATTGGGGTTCTGGCGCCCTAGCTATGTAGGGCTGTGAGTTTGGGGAGCCTGAGATTTTAAACGGTTCGGTGTGGGGTCTACAAAGTAGACCCATGTTATAAGACCCAATTTAATCTCTTAAAAAAAAAGTTGACTCGTGATTCTTTTAAATTTCAAAGTAGACCCATGTTAGTCCTTTTGAGGGATTAATGTAGGTCTTTTTGAATTTCAGAGGATTATGATTTTGATTATCTGGGTCTATTTTTTAATTCTGAGGGATCACGAGCAGACTTTTTTTCCCTAAGAGATTAAATTAAGGCCCGTAATTTTTATTGAGGACCCAAAATGTTAGGGGTGTTCGCAGTCTGGATTGGATCGGTTTTAAAGCAAAAAACCATATGATCCAATTCCTTCGGTTTGGTCATTACATCATCCGATCGGTTTGAATTTTTTTTCAAATCCGATCCAATTTTTTTTGGTTTGGATTGGATCGATTTTCGGTTTTTTGAAAAACCAAAAAAACAGAACTTATAAGAATTATTTTTAGAAAAAATGATGAGTATTATTTGTCATGGATCCTTTGTATTGGTAGTAGCAGAAAATTTTGGCAATACCGTAGTAATAAGTTTTCCAAAATCACTAATAAAAAAAATTATTGATCGATGTTCTAATAAAAAAAGTAATGAATTCTTTTACAGAAATCACTGCTTGACTACTTATAAATTATAATGGTTGCGAAAGTGGCCACTATGAACACTAGCCAAAACACACCTTCTCCAAAAAACTTAACCATATATACTACATTAACGAAAGTAATCCAGAAATTCCATAACATAGTAAACTTAAAACATTAAACTGAATTCTTCTTACCCATAAATAGATCATTGGCATGAATACTACAATAACAAAAAAAAATTTGGTAGAAAATAAGTTTGGATCGGTTTTCAACATCCAAACCGAAAACCGATCCAATCCAGTAAATATTTGCGGTTTTTTTCGGTTTTCGAATTTTCGGTTTTCGATTTTTCGGTTCGATTTCTGCGGTTTGAATCGGTTTGGATCGATTTATGAACACCCCTACAAAATGTTCTATTGTAACAGTTTAGTTGACTCTTGATTACTTTTTTTATATTAAGTTAAAGTTTTCTATTTTTTTTTTGTTTATATTCTTTTGTAATTTAATATATTCAAAAAAAATTAAATTTTTTTTCCTTTATTCTTTTATTCTAAGTGTGCAGACATTAAAAAACATTTCTAGGTCCGATATTGCATATATAAGTATGACAGTCCTTCTTCATTTTTTATTGAATAGATGTACTGAGTGAATAGTACAACAATAGTACCATAGATATTTCCCCTACCATCTCTAATGGGAAACTTCATACTTCACGCCAATATTATCAAAATCGAATTGATACCTAAAAACGAAAGAGAATGGTGCAAATGTAAATAGTAGAATTATAAATAGTATAAACAATACGAAATGTAAAATTTTTATTATTCAAGATCAAGATAAAAATTTATATATATATATATATATATATATATATATATATATATATATATATATATGGGAGGGATCTTTTGACTCTAGAGTAAGATTTACAACTCTTACTCCTCATCTCAACCGTTGATTTCCGTCCATCTAACGGTTATTATTTATTTGAAATTAATAATTAATTAATTGGTATAGATAACCGTCAGATGAACGAAAATCAACGGTTGAGATGAGGAGTAAGAGTTGTAAGTCTTACTCCAGAGTCAAAAGATCTCTCCCCTATATATAAAAGTGAGTTGCCAGATTAGATTGTTTATGCTTTTGCTGTAAAAAAAATTTCTCTGTCACACTCACATAAAAGTGAGTGGGTCCTACTTTGAAAAAAAAAGAGTAAGAAGAAGTTAGTGAGATCCATTACTTTTATGTGAATTTGGCAGAGAAGCAAAAAAATTAAACACTTTTTTTTATTTGTGTCAATTATGTTCTTGGGATCTATACTCTTTCTTGCGTTTCATCTCTGCTACACAATTTAGTGATTTTATTCTGAGTTATATTTTCATGGAATTAGTATTTATATGTTTGTTTACAAAACAAAGAATATAGTGATTAATTTTCAAGTTTTATTTCATGGAATTGCCGCCATTTTCTTTCAAGTAGGTGGGATTAGTGTGATTCCATGTTTCATAGAATCAAATTTTAATATAACTTGTCCATATTTATTTTACACAATAAGTATTATCCTTTAAAAATAATATTCTAAATTTCAAAATAATTTTTATTTAATGTTTTACGTTAAAATTACATTTGAGTAGATTACATCTTCATTTCATTTAGTGAAAATATCATTAGATAAAGATAAAAAAAAAAAAAAAAAAACTAACATTTCCCGTGGCTTGAAAAGTAATAAATAATTTAAAATAAATGATATATTTCTAGCAATTTCGGAGGATTATTACCATATTATTCTCTGTTTAGTGTTTACTATTATTATTATTATTATTATTTTAATGGGTAACGGGTATCCGTAGAGCTGTTTAAGAAATACTTGATGCTTTTTATAAATACATTATTTAATAACTAAATTATTTTAATTATTGAAAAAAGAAAATTAAAAAAAATATTTTAAATGATTTTATATTTTTATTTAATACTTCTCATTTTAATTTCTTAACTAATTATTGTATTCAAGAACATGAATAATTAATAACATCTTTTACAGAAGTCTTAATTAAGCCACTTCTCGTGGTCAACAGACAAAAGTTTGTTTGATTTTTTTTTTAAATTGAAGCACTTGAAACCGATGAGATCAGATCCGTTAATATTAAATCTCTCCATAAAAGATTCTGATACATAACATTAAACCGCCAGAAAAAAAAACTATTTAAGTATATAGACACATATATCACCAGTGTAATAATATAGACTCCCTTCTTTCTTGTGGATTAAGAATTCTCTCCTCTGGCTCCTCATCTTCTTGCGAAGCAGCGAAGGTTTGTTCTTGTCTCTTGTTCCTCCCAATTCTTTTTATTTGTGTATTATTATAATTGTGTTCTTGGGATCAGCAGTGTTTTCTTGATCATTTTCTTTCAATTTTTTTGATCATTTTCTTTCAAGAAAACAGTAGGATTAGTACTGTAATCTTGATCATTTTCTTTAAATATAACCAGCTGTCCCCTTTTTTTATTTTTGTTGTTCCACGGGTATCAATAATGTCTGTTCCACGACTATCAGCTGTCCCCTTTTCTGTTTCTTGTTTCTTATTTGATTCCGCGTTATTATAATTGAGTTTTCTTTTTATTTCTTGATCATTTTCTTTCAAGAAAACAGTAGGATTAGTACTGTAATCTTGATCATTTTCTTTAAATATAACCAGTTGTCCCCTGTTTTGAATTTTTGTTGTTAAACGGGTATCAATAATGTGTGTTCTTATTTGATTCCACGTTATTAATTCCATATTTCAACCGATGCAACGATTTCACGATCTTAACTGAATTGCTAATTAATGTTACCACCTAACGGACACTCTTGCAGGATGGAAAACAAGAAAAGAAAACTCATGAGCCCTGTAGATTGGTCCAAGATGCCAACTGACATCATAGAGACGATTTACAAGGATTTAGAATTTCCTGATCAAGCTCGATTTGGCAGCGTATGCAAGGGTTGGTATTCTTGTACCTACAACAAACCCCACCTTGCTGTTCCAAACAGTACCCCTTGGTTAATTGATAACAATGATCAAAGTTCAAAATACAATCTTGTTGTTAGTCCCTCTCATCGTCAGAAGGATTTTAAAATCTACAAACCATTTAGGCCTTTCCGTGATTCCTGCATTAAGGGATCTATCCAGGGCTGGTTAGTTATCAAATCTCAAGTCAAAATCTTTATTCTCAACTTGTTCTCAAAAGTTCGAATTGAACTCCTGCCTCGTACCACGATGCCGGTTTTCCTCAAGTCAAAGGGATACCGTGTTAGTGGCATGGACACTCCTGTGTCTTTCACAATTTCAACATGTGTCAATTCAAATCCTATCATGGCTGCAACTGTTACTTACGGTGGTGACTTGGTATGGTGCAAGATAGGATCTGACAAAGCATGGAAAGGCTATCGGGGTGATAAAGAATATGGGAATCTCACTTTTCACAAAGACAAACTTTATGCTATTACGCGAGACGGTACAAAAGTTGATATATTTCGAGTTGGAGTTGATGATGAATCATCAGTGCTCTTTTTGTTGCATAGTATAGATTCTAAGCAGTCAACCAAGAATCTATCAGATGCTAATTTGAAAGTATATTTGGTGGTGTCTAATGGAAGTGTTTTGGTTGTCAAGAGGTATTATCGTGATTTTGAATTTCGTGCGCCAACGATTGGCTTTGATGTTTTTAAGGTACAAGAAAACTGCACCCCACCCAGGCTCGTGAATGTGGACACCTTGGGAGAGCAAGATTTGTTTCTTGGTGAATTCAATTGTGAATCTCTTCCAGCTAAAGACTTTCTTGGAGTTCAAGAAGGCTGCATATACTTCACTGGCTACTCCGATAGCGGTTTTAAGTCTCTATTGGGAGCTTTCTCAGTTAAAGACAGACGTCTTCTTGATCCGCTTTATCTTACCAATATGGAATATCCAATTTGGGTCTTACCTAGGTTTGCATTTACGTGTAACTGCACCTGTCATGATTCTAGTCTATGGAAGCCCAAGAAAAAGAAAAAATATGTAAAGCGCAAAACTAATGTTGTGCGAATTTAATTTAGCTTGGGATTTGGATTTTGTGTACTTTGTGAAGAGATAAAAAAAAATTTATTAATGCAAATATTTTACATTGTTTTGTTTACTTTCTTGTTAGGTTTTATTCAACTGTAGAACATATCACAAGAGCCTATGAGTATGTGTCTTTGTGTTGTTCATGAGCAAGTCAAGTGAAGTAAAATAAAAGCATTCAGATCAAGTTTAGTTTACACGTCATTTCCATTATGTACGTCTTTTGGGTTTTCTTCGTGATTGTTTGTTTGCCTTCATTCGGGGTTGGCTATCTTGACCGAGTGTTATATTGTTTGGCACGCGTGTTACAGATAGGTTCTTTCTTATATAGAGAGTTGTGGTCTCTTCGCTTAACAATCCTCACCCGAGCTGTGGTCTCTTTCATGCTATTGATCACCTTTGAAAGGTGGACTACAATTTTCATATGATCGATTAGATTGTTGATTTTTTTAATGTCTTACCATATATATAAAAAAATTATGTTTCTCTTGTAGTAGGAATTAATTTTATCTTCAACACATATAAAAAATTGTGAGGAGCCATATGAAGAAAAGAGAGAAAAAAATAAAATATGGGTCCCACAACATTTTATATTATGTAAGTGATAAAATTTATTTCCTACAATTTGACAAGCATGATTCTTATAAAAAAACATATATTTTTTTGTAAAATATAAAAAACATATTAAAGGGAGAAAGGTATTCATGCTGCAATTCCTATTACCAATGATCTAATTAACTTTATAAATTATTCATGCTGTAATTTTTAAGAATTGTCGAATATATTTGATTCCTTTTTTGAAGTTGTACTCATCAGAGTATGGAAGAAAAATAATTGAGAGAGAAGGTATTAAAGGGTGCCGAATCTAGTGATACCATATACTTGCTTGAAACAAATACGTGCCACTTTAGATATTATGCATATTATTACTGTAAATATTATAATAAAAATCTATAACAAACTTGTCGATATTTAGTTACAGGTCGAACTATGTCCACGGCTCCTTTTACTGATCCTCATTTGTTCTCTCATGTTCTGGTCTTGTATATCTTTGCTTTTGAGTGTAGCTCTCACCGTGCATTAGGTACAAACCTCAACTGTCTCGAAGAGAGAGATGTCTAGCTCAATAGGTTAGTGTGTTATTTTTGGATCTAGGTTTTCTCTCTAAGGTATCTATGAGTTAAATACCTTTGAATTTAGCAGATCAATATGCATAAAGGAAAAAAAAGAAAGCTTTCGCCAAAGGAGTGGTGTGTGCATAGTGACAACATAACTTTAATAGATAGAGAATAGTCATACATGTAGACTTTACCTCTTATTTTTTGAGTTTACGTGTGAGTATTAGGATTCTGGACTTTTTGTGCCTCTTCTAGAACTGTAACACCCTGTATATATTCGGTTGTTATCATATTATCGTATTAAGCCACGCTTAATTTAAAAATGCGGAATATCTTTTTCTTTTCAATTATGACGTCACTATCATTAGCCAAGTTGAATTACTTAATTCTTTTCATAAAACATCGCCTGTATGTAAATTGCAAAAGACAGCTAACTGAAATACCTCAATATATAAATAGCATAAATGAGTCTCTAGTCATGGAACTACAACACGTACACCGGACAACCCTGATAGTTTATACAACTCAAGCTAAAAGGTACTAACATCAAAGCGGCATTGACAAACCTCATGCTCGCCAAATAAGGCAACACGCCCAACAAGAGTCTCAAATCAAATAACATAAGCATGGCAGAAAACATAAACAGCATCCAATATCTAGTCGTGTCAGCATATAGCATAAAATAGTCAACTAAGCTCCGGCCTCCTGCTGCTAGAGGCATCCTCCCCCAAGTTACCTGAACCTGAAATAAGCGTCGACCCCAAACGTGGGGTGAGATCTCTAAACAAGAAATCTCAGTAAGACAAGGGCTCCTCAAGGATCTTCCACCCCAAGCTCACTTACATGTGCAATATAAGTTCCAAAAACAGTTACACAGTATAAGTTCCAAAATAGTGCAATGCAGCAGATAATCATGTCATGTGTGTTATAAAAATTCTACTGATCAGAGAAGTGCAGGAATACGTCTATTACCCACACAGTACTAGCCCATATTGTACCCGCCCCCAGGACCACCCCATGGCTTCCTGACTAGGCGAAATGTAAGAACCCACACCGTTAATTAAGGAAATTAATCAGTTAATTATGAGTTTAATGAGATAATTCCACAATTGACCCTAATAATTATTATGAGGCTATAATAATTATAGTAAGTGAGTAATAATGATGAAAGTCGCTTTTCTCACGAAAAGTGCAGATACTGGTTCTGCTAGTCGGTATAAATGCGTACCCAAAAAATATCCCGGAAAATTATAATAAGTGCATGAATATTCTTAGAATATTATATAGGACTTGTAAAACGAGTTTCAAGTTAAAATAATGAGAACTGGTGCCAGAAACTGATACTGGCTATGAAAAGCGCGTACCGGAAAGGTGCTCCGAAAAATTTAAGAAAAATATGATCATTCTTGTAAAATTGAGTAGGTTAAGAATCCTGAGTTTGGGATTAAAATGCTAAGCGTAGAAATTAAAGTTAATATTGTGCGTTTATGGCTTAAGTGACTATATATACTAAAGTATGGCCCAAAACCCTAGGCCATACATTTCTCCTACGTGAGTTTGCTGAAGGTGTGTCACCAGCCACCCTACCACCTCCTTCTCCTTCCATTTGAGACACCAAGAGACCTCATTTCCTCTTGGGTTCTTTATGAAAACTCTATGGGTGAGTGCATTCTAGCCTTGGGAAGTAAAAAGAGATTATTTTTCTGAGTTCTTGCTACTGCCTTGGTGAGGATAGGTGCTGAATTTGAGTTTAGAGAGGGTGTGGTCCTTTGGCTTGGCATTTGTGGTTCCAAGGAGTCATCTTTTGGTGCAAGAACCAACATTTGGTGTGGCATTTTTGTGCTCCCTACAAGTCAGTATATTTGGAGTTGTTTGGTGAGCTCCAAGAGCCTTCCATCTGAGTTTGAAGCTTTGGTGAGTTGCCTAACCTTGATCATGAGTTTAAATGGTTTAAAGGTGATGCCTTTCCATGTAAATGGGTTAAGCAAGTAACTAACATGTGTATGAACCTGTTTAGACCTAAAAATGGAGTCTTGAACGCTTTTATTTGGTAAAAGTTGGACCATTGGTGGATATCTTCGCGAAATGCAGAAACTGCATTCTGTCGCAAAATATCCAGATATTTGGTCGATAAATATCCGGATATGGATATCCGGATATTGATATCTGGATATTGCCAGTGAGATATTCGGATATTGATATCCGGATATGCCCCCAACATATATCCGGATATTCTGGGATTTCGAAGAACAGTAAGGTACTGTTCATACAGAACTGAGCTGTGGGTTTGTGGACCCTATTTTGATGGAGTTGAACTTCTGTAAATACTTAACTGGGTCAGAATCAAGGGATTAAGGGCTTATGGCTTTGTGGGAAGCCTTAAGACGTAAAACGTAAAAGGAAAACGTAGTCTTTATGTTTATGCTTTGGAGCTATGAATGTTGATATGTTTGCTGGTCCTAAATCAGATTGTGATCTGCTGTGTTTGGACATTGAGCTTGTGTGGACTTGACTTGGATTGATTGCTTACTTAAGAGGTAAGCTTTCGTGTCCTCGATTTAGCCATGTTGTGGTTCCACCATGTCCCATGGGGGTATGGTTATATGCATGTTGTGTTAAATGCTTTGGATATTTGAAATGCTGTTGAGCTTTATGTGTAATGGCTTTTAATATGCATGTGTTGTTCCATCTTGACGGTAAGCCTGCGTATGTGGCGTCATACAAGACGGTGATCCGGGGTGGATGCAAGTGGCGTCTTGCACTATGTGTGGGTATTTGACGTATATAAATCCTTCATTTCTCTGGCCAGTAGAATAGAATTGACACACATGACATGATTATCTGCTGCATTGCACTATTTTAGAACTGATGATGATAAACTGCTTTTGAACTTATATTGCACATGTAAGTGAGCTTGGGGTGGAAGATCCTTGAGGACCCCTTGCCTTACTGAGATTTCTTGTTTAGAGATCTCACCCCACGTTTGGGGAATGCTTATTTCAGGTTCAGGTAGTATGGGGACTGATGCCTCTGGCGGCAGGAGGCCAGAGCTTAGTTGATGATTATTGCTGTTATATGTTATATGCTGGCATGATTGGATTGGATGCTGTTTATGTTTTCCGCCTTTATCATTATGTTGTTGTTGAGTTGAGACTGATGTTGGGCTTTGTTGCCTTGTTTGGGTGAGCATGGGGTTTGTCCATGCCACAGGGTGGTTAGTACTTTTAGTTGGAGTTGTATAAACTGTTAGATGGTCCGGTCTACTTTTTGTAGTTCCGTGACTAGAGACTCATACTTATGTTATTTAATTAATGAGGTATTTCAGTTAGCTGTTTATTGCAATATACATACAGGCGATGTTTTGAAAATGGTTAAGTAATCAAGTTGGTAATGATTAATGCCATCATAATTGAAAATAAAAAGATATTCTGCAATTTTAATTAAGCGCAGCTTAATACGATAACATGATAACATTACCGGGTACATACGGGGTGTTACACGAAACACCACATACATATCATAAGCATTTTGCACTTAACAGCTCATAGCATTTCAATAAAACAGTACATGAAAACACATCATGCATATAATCATCCCCACATGGGACATGGTGGAACAAACAATGGCTAAACCGAGGACACAAAAGCTTACCTCTTAAGCAATACGTCCAAACCAAGAGCTCACACTAGCTCAAGCCCACAAACAACACAATCACAATCTGTTTATACAGTAAATAATCATCAATAACTATTACTCCAGGTTACATTAAGTGATTAAGGCTTTCCATCTCATTTTAAGTCATTTTAGGCAGTTTCTGCATGAGGTATTCGAATACTCCTCGATGAGTATTCGAATACTCCTGCTCTCCAG